GTGTTGTGCGTAGTGAGTGTGTGTGTGTGTGTGTTGTGCGTGGTGTGTGTGTTGTGCGTAGTGTGTGTGTGTGTGTGTCTGGTGTGTGTCTGTGTGTCTGTGTCTGTGTGTGTGTGTCTGCGTGTGTCTTTGCGTGTGTGTGTGGCTGTGTGTGTGTCTGTGTGTGTTGTGCGTGGTGTGTGTGTGTGGGTATGGTGTGTGTGGTGTGTGTATGTGTGTCTGTGCGTGTCTCTGTGTGTGTGTCTGCGTGTGTCTTTGCGTGTGTGTGTGTTGTGTGTTGTGTGTTGTGTGCTGTGTGTTGTGTGTTGTGTGTTGTGTGTGTGTGTCTGTGTGTCTGTGTTTCTGTCTGTCTGTGTGTCTGTGTGTGTGTTGATTGGTGTTGTGCTGTGTTGGTGTTGTGTTGTGTTGCGTTGTGCTGTGTTGTGCAGTGTTGTGTGTCCATGTGTGTGTGTGTGGGTGCGCGTGTGTCTGTGTGTGTGTGTATGCGTGGGTGTGTGTGTGTGCGCGTGTGTTGGTGTGTGTGTGTGTGTGTGTGTGCGTGCGTATTCGCGTGCGCGTGCGCGTGCCAGTGCCCGTGCGCGCTCGCGTGTGCGTGGAGGTCTTGTTGTTTGCTTGTTTGTTTGCTTGTTTGTTTGCTTGTTTGTTTGTCTGTTTGTTTGTGTTTGCTTGCTTGTTTGTTTGTGTGTGTGTTTGTGTGTCTGTGTCTGTTCGTGCCTGCCTCTTTGTCTGCTTCTGTCTGCGTGTGTTTCTCTGTGTGTGTGTGTGTGTTCGTGTGGTGGTGTTTTTGGGTGTTTTTTTGTGTGTGTGTGCTGGCGTGTTGTTTCCTGATTTTGTATGCGTGGTGTGTTTTGTGTGATGCGTTGTGCGTGGTGTGTGTGTGTGTGAGTGTGTGTGTGTGTGTGTCTGCGTGTGTTTTTGCGTGTGTGTTTGTGGTGTGTGTGTGTGTGTGAGTGGTGTGTGTGTGTGTGCGGTGTGTATGGTGTGTGTGTGTGTGTGGCGTGTGTGTGTGTGTGCGGTGTGTCTGTGTGTGTGTGTTGTGCGTGGTGTGTGTGTGTGTGTTGTGCGTAGTGAGTGTGTGTGTGTGTTGTGCGAGGTGTGTGTGTGTGTGTGCGTTGTGCGTAGTGTGTGTGTGTGTCTGGTGTGTGTCTGTGTGTCTGTGTCTGTGTGTGTGTGTCTGCGTGTGTCTTTGCGTGTGTGTGTGTGTGTGTGTGTGTCTGTGTGTGTGTGTGTGTCTGTGTGTGTTGTGCGTGGTGTGTGTGTGTGTGGGTATGGTGTGTGTGGTGTGTGTATGTGTGTCTGTGCGTGTGTCTTTGCGTGTGTGTTGTGTGTTGTGTGTTGTGTGTTGTGTGTTGTGTGTTGTGTGTTGTGTGTTGTGTGTTGTGTGTTGTGTGTTGTGTGTTGTGTGTTGTGTGTTGTGTGTTGTGTGGTGTGTGTTGTGTGGTGTGTGGTGTGTGTGTGTGGTGTGTGTGTGTGTGTGTGTGTGCGTGTGTGCGTGTGTGCGTGTGTGTGCGTGTGTGTGCGTGTGTGTGTGCGTGTGTGTGCGTGTGTGTGTGCGTGTGTGTGCGTGTGTGTGCGTGTGTGTGGGCGTGTGTGTGGGCGTGTGTGTGGGCGTGTGTGTGGGCGTGTGTGTGGGCGTGTGTGTGGGCGTGTGTGTGGGCGTGTGTGTGGGCGTGTGTGTGGGCGTGTGTGTGGGCGTGTGTGTGTGGGCGTGTGTGTGGGCGTGTGTGTGGGCGTGTGTGTGTGGGCGTGTGTGTGGGTGTGTGTGGGCGTGTGTGTGGGCGTGTGTGGGCGTGTGTGTGGGCGTGTGTGTGGGCGTGTGTGTGGGCGTGTGTGTGGGCGTGTGTGTGGGCGTGTGTGTGGGGTGTGTGTGTGTGGGCGTGTGTGTGGGCGTGTGTGTGTGTGGGCGTGTGTGTGTGTGGGCGTGTGTGTGGGCGTGTGTGTGGGCGTGTGTGTGGGCGTGTGTGTGGGCGTGTGTGTGGGCGTGTGTGTGGGCGTGTGTGTGGGCGTGTGTGTGGGCGTGTGTGTGGGCGTGTGTGTGGGCGTGTGTGTGGGCGTGTGTGTGGGCGTGTGTGTGGGCGTGTGTGTGGGCGTGTGTGTGGGCGTGTGTGTGGGCGTGTGTGTGGGCGTGTGTGTGGGCGTGTGTGTGGGCGTGTGTGTGGGCGTGTGTGTGGGCGTGTGTGTGGGCGTGTGTGTGGGCGTGTGTGTGGGCGTGTGTGTGGTGGGGCGTGCGTGTGGGCGCGCGGTGTGGGCAGCGCGTGGCGGGCGCTGGGGGCGAGCCGCGTTGGCGGGCGCGACGCGCGTGGGCGGGGCGCGTGGCGGGCGCGTGGCCGGGCGTGTGGGCGGGCGCGTGTGTGTGCGGGCGCGTGTGGGGGGCGGCGGCGTGTGGGCGGCGCGTGTGGGCGGGCGCTGTGGGCGGGCGCGTTTGTCGGGGCGCGTGTGCCGGCGCGTGTGGGCGGGCGCGTGTGGGGGCGGGTGCGCGTGGGGGCGGCGCGGGGGTGGGGGCGCGTGGGGGCGTGGGGGCGTGGGGGCGTGGGGGCGTGTGGGCGTGTGGGCGTGTGGGCGTGTGGGCGTGTGGGCGTGTGCGTGTGCGTGGGCGTGCGCGTGCGCGTGTGCGTGCGCGTGCGCGTGTGCGTGTGCGTGCGCGTGCGCGTGCGCGTGCGCGTGCGCGTGCGCGTGCGCGTGCGCGTGTGCGTGTGCCTGGCTGTGCATGTGTGTCTCTGTGTGTGTGTGTGTGTCTGTCTGTGTGTGTCTCTGTGTCTGTGTCTGTGTCTGCTTTTGGTGTCTGTGACTCTGTGTCTTGGTGTATGTGTGTGTAGGTGTGACTCTGCGTGCGCGCGTGTGTGTGTGTGCGCGCGGGTGTGTGTGTGTGTGTGTGTGTGTGTGTGTGTGTGTGTGTGTGTGTGTGTGTGTCTGTGTGTTTATGCTTGTGTTTGTGGGTGTGGGTGTGGGTTTCGCGTGCGCCATTGCAGAACAACCTCGGACTTGAGACTTTGGAAAGAAGGTGGCCAAAAGGGCCTTGCGAGAAGGCCCACCTACAAACGCCACTGGTTGTTACGATTGGCGGTGGGCTCGCAACACATCTAACAAATGCTGCCTCAACCAAAGCACCAACGAAACCTCCATATGTGTGTCTCTCTTGCCTATACACCCTCCTGCAGAATTGTTGAAGGGCGCCAAGGTTGCCCAGTCCTGTCAGCTCACTTCTCTGACACCCTGCTTTTGCTGCGGAATCATCCCTGCCCAAGTCAAAGCAATTACGGCCATATGTCCCACCAACCTGTCGCTAGGAAGAGGAGGCGGATGACTCCCACACAAGCTGTGCGCCATGCTGGGTGCCACGCCGCCCTACCCATCACACACAGCACGGCACTGAAGTTTACTCAAGACCTGGCAACAATCCCGATCGCTGCATGTCTCTGCATCGCACCGGACCCGGGCCGGTAAAAAGTTCAAGGCGCATCCTGGCACAAGTCCAGGGCTCTGGCACTTGCACCAATAGCTTGAATTTTGGTCGCACGCCCGGCCAGGCAATAGCACCACACCCGACTAGGAGAAGAACGGCCTGTTTCTGGGACGCACATCATGCGCAAGCAGCAGCAAACATGCGTTGCCCCAACTGGCAGGGCAAGTGGCTGCTTTACGATAAGCAGACTGGCAGCTCGCAGTGTTCAAGGTTTCCACATGGCCATGGCCCCATGATCACGCTCTGGTGCCATCAACCAGAAACGTTAGACAGTCCAAGTCGGACCTTTGAATCCGACGATTTGGCTTCCAAGTTGGGACCGCCTGGCCCGCAAAAGCGGAAGGCCTCCAGATCTTGCGGCCATCACTCGTTGCCTGCGTGGCGCTTGTTTCTTCACCGGGAGAAACACCTCCAACAATCACCACAACTCTGAATCTGCGTGTCGCAGGCGACCCTCACCTCAGCAGCGCTCCAAGCGGGTCGTTTGACGCCCTCGGCGTCAGCCCCTGCACGAGCAATTCCAGAGCGTTTCCGTGTTAGAACCGCGCCTGGGTTCAAAACCTGAAGCCGACACCAAACATCTTAATTGTCAGACCGTTCTTAGCTCAACCCTGCGGGGTTGCTTAGTGAATTTGCGCCCGGGGGTTTGTTGTTTGGCACCAGCGCGACAAGCCTGCGTGGCCCCCTTGGCCCAGGTCGCCACCCTGAATCCGGTAAGCGCGGCAACCAGAAAGCTTCAAACATCGTCGAAGCCTGGCAACACCACCCCTAGAAAATTCCAGCCTTCGATTCGTCAAGCCATCTTCAGGAAATCGCGGCAGCGATGATCTGCTTTTGCTACTGCCGGGTGCTGCTTGACGCGGCGAAGTTCACATGGCAATGGCTCTGCCTGCCTTGAAACAGATGCGCCTGCCTTGGAACAGCCCCGCTTGCCTTGGAACAAGCCACCGACAAATGCGTGTGGCAAACCTTCACGGACGAATCGCCAGGCGCGCTGTCGCAAGGCTTGAGCTGAAGCACGCCCATCACCCAATGGCAAGCGATGGCTCAGTCTTTCATTCTGCCAACTGCCAGCTGCCCGCGCACGGGAACCAAGCCAAAGCTTTGTCCACCATTTTCAAAGCCCTACGCGGGTTGCCAAAAGCTTTGGGATTTGATACCTTCTTGCGCGCATTGGGCACTTCTTATTTTGCCCACCCCACTGTGATTCAGCTGGGAAAGTGCATTTGGCGAGAATCTCCCGAACCTCACGGGTGCCGTGGATGCAACAACTGCGGCAGCTTGCTTTGCGCAGGTGAGTCAGGGGAGCGACGTAAGCAGGCTAGCCCAAGGCTAGAAAGCGGCACCGCCACACAAGTGGATGTGCATGGCTGGTGGCTTGGACACACCTCTCTAGCCGTGTTAGTGGGCTCTAAACTCTGCCTTGCCTTGAAAGCTTGCTTTGCACTTCCACGCGATCGGATTTTGCAGGGCCCCATGGATTCAACAAAATGCGGCAACTTGCTTTGCGCAGTTTTGCTTTTCCCAGCTATTGCACCTAGTGGGGCGCTGTTCTTGAGCCAGGGGATTGGATGCAAGCAGGCTCGCCCAGGGCACCAAGCGGCAACCCTGCACAAGAGGCTGTCCACGGCCGGTGGCTTGGATACAGCTCCAGCTGTTTTAGCGGGCCCCCTCGCCGCGTAAAGCGCAAAGGTCCGCGCTCCAAACTCTGCCTTGCCTTGAAGGCTTGCTCTGCACCTCCAAGCGGTCGCTCGTCCAAAGCTTCTTGCAGAATATCATGGACACAAAGATTCTTGGCTCGCAATCCCGGGCCTGGAGCCTCGGGGCAAGAGATTGCACAACACAAGCCTAATGTTGCAAACTGCTGCCACATCGGGCCCCACATAGCTTTTGCTTGCGCGGAATGCAAAGGGCTCAAAGTTTTTGATGTTGAAGGGCCACATCTTCAAAGTTCTGCGCGAAATGGCCCGGCTTGTTGCGCCAACCCCGCTGGACGCTCAAATGGTGATTCAGCTGGCCAATTGCCTGCTGCGAATTTTCCCAAACCTGACAACGGGCTCAAAAACGCTTCGGTCGCAATTTGTGCACTTCTTATTTCGCCAACCCCGCCGGACGCTCAAACAGTGAATCAGCTGGCCAAGCGCATGTTGCGAAGCTTTCCTGAGCTTAACGACCGCCCTGAGTTCAACCCGAGACCGACGTGGGAGCGGGGCCTGTGCTGGACGGCTGAATGGCGGAATATGTCGAGAAACAAAAGGTTCTTGCCAGGGTTCTGCAAATGTCTTGTTCAAGGGTTTTTTCGCGCTGAGGCGTAAACTAATGGAAAGGGCCTCCGCACAACCATTTCTGAGGGCAATTGCCCATGATTCGTGCAGCAGTTCCGAGCAGCCCAGCTCCCCTTCCCAAAGCTGTCTGATCAACAAATTGCCGCCGCTGGTGTGGCACACTTGCTGAAATCCTTTCTCAGCCTGCATCATGTAAAACAATGGCCCTGTGACCCCCAATTCACCCTAGTTGGCCCTGTTGTGCCTGCCTGTGGCGCCTACTTGACACCTCCCTGGATTCAACGACGCCTTGCGCTGGGCCGTATTGGGTGCTATTGGGGCCTATTTGGCCGTTTTGGTGCTCGCACACGTGCTTTTCTATTTCTCCAACTTTTGCGTCCATTCCGGCTCATGAGCATGCCCAAGCAAACCGTGGCAGGGGGTGAGCGCACAAGGCACGGCCAGCACGTCATTTGCATGGCGGTTCTCGGGCAGCAAGGTTGCAAAAACGCTCTTGCCCTGCTCAGCTTCTTGCTTGCTTGCGCGCAATCACACACTCTCCTTGCGCCAGGCCCTGGCACAAAGACTCACAGCGAGCCTGGCGCCGCCCGATGCACGCAAAGCGGTTTTATAAAACTGCTGCTGTCTTAAGCAGGCCCTCCAAGCGACAGCTCAAATTTCTCACTGTGGCAAGAGCTCGGCTAGGCCTCGTCCCGGCTGCGTTGTTTGGACCGTCGCCCTGATGAACTACCAGCGTCAGCTTGCTTTGCGAAGCTTCACGGCCCTGCCCTGCCCGGCGCCTGGGGCATGGCAAGCGCAGGAACTTGAGAATGTGACAAAACGCTGTCTTGCCCACTTTGCTTCAGACAGCAAGCTACTGTGCGTCTACGGGCTAAGGCCGCTGATGACATCGGCAGCTGTGCGGCGAGCCTTGCTAGGCTTCTTCGCCTGACAAGACCGACGTTCGCAGACGGGATTGTGCTTTCCAACGCGCAGCGCCTCATGAATGAGAGTTGGTGCTACTTGAAAAACCTCAGTTTTGACCGATCACCCAACATGTTTGGTGTTCGCCCGGTATGTCGGAAAGCGCCAGGAGCCGGAGCATGTTTTTGCGACGAACACGGCGTTGGCATACACAAAGGCTGGTGCGTGAACTTGCGTATCAAGGGGTTGCCGACCGGCGCACGTTTTTGGAGGGCACATCTGCCTGGAGCGAAGCATGGCTTCTTGCATTTTTAGGCAGATGTGACTAACGTTGGACCACTTCATCTGCGCATTGCGACGGCAGTTCGTGTAGAACACCCGATTGTTTCCAGCTCGCTCTAAGCTGTGGCGCGCGCGCACTGGGTCAGCAATCGCACCCAATCGCCGCCCTGCCGAGAGGTCTAGCACGCAGATAACACCTCCACAAGCAAAGAGCGCACTGACGCGAAACATCTGACAGCTGACTGCACGCAGCTTGAAATCGCGGCTGCAGGCATGCGCGGGTCGGAGATCACAGTGGCAGCGCGATTTGACGCGGCTTGCATCATGGCACCTCGTGCGCTTGCAGCAAACCACCTTGCCATCGCACAACTGGTGGCTTGCAGGCGACCTTTTGCAGACTCAGCCTGTTCGGCATGAACTCCTTGCAGCGTGTGTCAAGTGGTTGGGACAAGCCCCCCGGCCCTCTAAAATATTCAATCTAAAGCAGTTTAATTACACAGGTGACGTGTCGAGTGCGTCGGGAATCTGGACATACCAGTGGCCAACCTGGCAAGGAAGTGCGTCGGGAACCTGCTCCTTCTCTGGCTTCAGCGATTCTGAGAGAACGGGGCGACTGCAGGAGCACGCGGCAGCTTTCATGAAAAAGGCAAAGCAAGATAAGACGCATTCCAGACACGCGTGAGTTCCTCCCAAACCCAAACTCACATCAGTAAGGCCTGTGCAGTCAGAACAGGCGTGCCTTTCGTGTTTTGGCTTGGCTGCTTTCCTAGTGGACGCGTCGCCGCTTTTCAAAGCATTTAATCATTTCCCGTGGGGCGCTTGGTGAGTTGGTCCAGCCGCGGCCATGGCGCGCCAGCAAAGCTGAATCTCTCTTAAAAAAGGTGCCCGCTGGCCGCATCTGTTTGCGCTTACTGTGGCCTTGCACACGGGGCCGCCCAGAGCCGCATGTTGAGACCAAATCAAGCATCTGCATCCATCAGCAAATGCCATCAGCATCTGCAGATTTCATCAGCGTCTGCAATCTCCACATGCAAAGCTTTGAGTTTTTGGGCTTGGTCTTGCGATGCCTTCGCCTTTGAAAGCAAATCACTGGCAACGTCATCTTCTCGCACGTAACGCTATTTCCAGAACCGATTGCAAAGGCTGTGCGGAAGCACGTTGGCCCAAATCAAAAAATGGGCGCGGCCAGCAGAGATGGCCCACTGCCAACCCACTGCATGTCTTGCGGCACCGCTTCAGCGAACTCCAAGCTCAACCCTGGGTGCCCCGCACGTGCCCAAATTTACACGCCATTGCTGGCACAAGCCAGAATTCAGCTGTTAGGCCGTGCTGTGAATTGGAGTTGTTGCGCGCACGCACACCCAAAGAAGAAAAGTCAAGCATTTCAATGGTAGAGCAGATCAAGACCAAGCCAACGCACGGCAACTTTGCAACACTCTCTTGCGCCCACTTTTCCTCGCGCCCAACAAAGCGGCATACTCCAGCAAACGAGCGAGGCCCGGCGCACTCCAACTGGCGTTGCCATCCAGCTGACTTCATATTTGGGCGCGTTGACTTGCAGCTGAGCAGGAAGAACCCTATTGGTTCAATGATGCAGCCGCACAAGAACATATGAAAGCACGATGTCATTGCAGCACACGCTTCGCAGAGAAATATACCCGCGCTCCCCTTGCATTCCTCGCACCTGGCCATGCGGCACGCTCCAGAAATCACACGCTGACCAGCACACTTCAACTTGGCGTGGGGCAATTCGACACACACTGAGTTTGCACACTGCTCAATCCCACATGCTAGGCAGAGGCGGCTCGTCTGGCGGCAGTCGGCGCAAAGAGGATCCCTGTAACTTCACATTGTGCCACTTTGCAAGAAATTTTACAGGTAGCACTGGCAAATGCGGACCCGCCACTGGTGGCCCACCAGCGTCAGTCTCGGCGGCCCACCACAGTCCGGCTCTGCGTCTTGCAACCTGCACATTGTACTTTCGGTACTTTTGGGCTTGGTCTTGTGATGGCTGCATCTTTGTACACAAATCCCTGGCAGCGTCATCTCCGCCCGGAAACAATGTGGGCCGACATCTCGCCGCTTCCCAGAATCGAATATGCCCCGCATCGAAACATCAATCACTGCCGGCAGACATGGCCCACTGCCAAGCCACTGCATGTCTTGTGGCACTGAATCGGTGAACTCCAAGCTCAATCCTGGGCTCTGATGCCCGGCGCTCCGCGCTTGCCCAGAGCTTCGCGGCATTGCTGCCAAAACCTGCTGAATTGCTACGACACTAGCCCGCACGTAGCCCACGCAAATTCAGAGTTGCCCGGACTTGCAGACGCGCACCAACACCCAACGAAGAAAAGCCCAGCAATTCAATGGTCGAGCCAAACAAGAAGAAGCGACAGCACCCCACATTTGCAGCCCGCGCTTCGGGGAGAAATGTCCTATTTCGAGCCATGCGTCCCTTGCAATGGGAGAGACAGTACGCTCCAGACAGCCCACGAGGCCCATCACACTTCATTGGCTTCCAGCTGACTTCGGGGCTGGGCCGCGCTTTAACTTGCAGCTGCATGCACGCACAACTAATCCGAACAAGACCAAAGGCAATCGCTATTCTTCGTTGACAGAACCACACAAAGCATGTGAAAACACAATGGCATTGCAGCACACGCCTCTGAAAGAAATTTACCCTCGCACCCCTTGTGTTCCTTGCAGCTTGCCAAGCGGCATACTCCGGAAAAAGCACGAGGCGCTGCACACTTCAACTGGCGCAAGGCAAATGCACTTTGTGCGCCGGCACGGCTTTCAATCCCACATCGGCTAGGAGAGCCCACAAGTTGCGATGGCAAATGCCGACGCGACAGTGGCTGCCTGACAGAGTGAACCTCCCCTTCTCTCTGTGCTTTCCGGCTTTGGGTTTTTGTAGTTGCGGGCTTGGTCTTGCAATGGCTGCACCTTTGCACCCCAATCACCGGCAATGTCATCTTTGCGCACGTGTTGGGTCCGTGAACGCTAACACGCCGACAAAGCGGGCCGACGATGCCGCCGGCCCACCATTGACGGCAAAGGCTGCGGGAACGCACATGGGCCCCAGATAAAGCAATCAGCACTGCCAGCAGAAATGGCCAACCGCCAAGCCACTGCATGTCCTGTGGGACTGCTTCAGTGAACTCCAAGCTCAATCCTGGGCACTGATGCCCGGCGCTCCGCGCTTGCCCAGAGCTACGCGGCATTGCTGCCAAAACCTGCTGAATTGCTACGACACTAGCCCGCACGTAGCCCACGCAAATTCAGAGTTGCCCGGACTTGCAGACGCGCACCAACACCCAACGAAGAAAAGCCCAGCAATTCAATGGTCGAGCCAAACAAGAAGAAGCGACAGCACCCCACATTTGCAGCCCGCGCTTCGGGGAGAAATGTCCTATTTCGAGCCATGCGTTCCTTGCAATGGGAGAGACAGTACGCTCCAGACAACCCACGAGGCCCAGCACACTTCATTGGCTTCCAGCTGACTTCGGGGCTGGGCCGCGCTTTAACTTGCAGCTGCATGCACGCACAACTAATCCGAACAAGACCAAAGGCAATCGCTATTCTTCGTTGACAGAACCACACAAAGCATGTGAAAACACAATGGCATTGCAGCACACGCCTCTGAAAGAAATATACCCTCGCGCCCCTTGCGTTCCTCGCGGCCTGCCAAGCGGCATACTCCGGAAAAAGCACGAGGCGCTGCACACTTCAACTGGCGCAAGGCAAATGCACTTTGTGCGCCGGCACGGCTTTCAATCCCGCATGCTAGGCAGCCCGTCTGACGACAGCCCGTGCAAAAGAGAGGCCACAAGTTGCCATGCAAAATGCGAGCAAGCAGTGACGGCCCACCACAGAAAATCTCTCCTTCCTCTGCGCAGTCCAGCTTTGCATCTTTGTATTTTGGGCTTGGTCTTGTGATGGCCGCGACTTTGCACGCCAATCACTGGCAATGGCGTCTTCGCACACGTGTTGGGTCGGGATGCTTCAACACGGGCCGACGATGCCGACGGCCCAGAATCAATATTAACCGAAGAGACGGTACATGCTGGCAAAAGCACGAGGCCCAGCACACTTCAGCTGGCGTAAACTGTAGGCCGCCTTTCAACCCCACATGCTAGGCAGCCCGTCTGACGAGAGGCCACAAGTTGACATTCCAAAGTTTCCTCTCCACAGTCCAGCTTTGCATCTTTGTATTTTGGGTTTGGTCTTGTGATGGCCGCGACTTTGCACGCCAATCACTGGCAATGGCGTCTTCGCACACGTGTTGGGTCGGGATGCTTCAACACGGGCCGACGATGCAAACGGCCCAGAATCAATATTAACCGAAGAGACTGTACATGCTGGCAAAAGCACGAGGCCCAGCACACTTCAACTGGTGTAAGGCAATTCGACACTGTGAGTTTGCACGCTTTTCAACCCCATGACGACCCGCGCAAAAGAGAGCCCTGTCTCCTCACAGCACGTCACTTTGCAATCAAGCACCCTGAGTCAGCCGCATGATGCCTGTCAGCCCTGCAAGCTCTACAGCTGTAGCGCTGACAAGTGTGGACCGGACACCAGCACCGGCGGGGTGCCAGCGTTTATATCTCCCTCTCTCTCTGCGCGGTCCAGCATTGCATCTTGCAAACTGATAGCTTCGTGAAGCCCATTCAGCCGAGCTGGCGTCCCAGGATGCATTGTTGAAGCATGCACGGCCTGGCAGGGCGTCGTGGACAAAACGTGGCCCACGACAAGCTTTGCAATGATTGTTGTACGCTGTCTTGACTTCTTCTGAACTCTATGAGGCGGCTGAACAAATATAAACGATAAACAGAAAAAAAAGAAACAAAAAAACGACCTACCCTTGTTTGTTGGGGTGGAAGCCAGAAACAAGGTACAACAACTCCATCCGCTTCTTCGAGACTTTGATGCTAGACCCCCAGATCACCAAGTTTCAATAGAACAGGCCAGCATGGCCGGCGCCCAGGACCCCACCAAAAGCAGCAACCAACTGTCTCTCGAACCCAATTTTATCCTTCGAATCCAAAGAGGGGGCTAGAATGGCACGCGGTGTTTAAAAAGCCAGTGTCGAGAAGGCAATTGGCAGATCAAATTGAAAGCAACGCGCAATCAAAAGCTGTCTGAAGGCGCAAATGCAGCAAAAGGACAAATCGCATTCCTGCGTGGCTTGATGGTGGTCGGCCACTGAAATGATCATCCAAAAAAATGGAACTCCATCCATCCTCTGGCCAGAGGAAAAAGAAGCTGCAAATCGAATTCCTGAAGCCACCCACCTCCGATTCCATTCTTGGGGTGGGGATGTAGAAGCCCCCAAACTGCCACCCAAGGTTCCGCAGCCACTTCCGCCCTGCACCTTGAAATTGCGCGAGTTGCTGCCATGGCGACAAATGTGAATCTTTGAGTGCCCCGTGTCGATACAAAGAAGCCACATGGGTGTGCATCAAAATATTCAGACTCCCTTCCAAAAACAAAAAAGATGCAAGAAGCGCATGCCCGCGCAAGTGTCATTTGGCAGCGATTGGAGTTCGTTGCTTGGAACCCGTTGGACGGGTGGAGTTCACGTCTCAGAGCCAGAGGGCGCAGTTCCGATGGCGAGAACTGGTTCGCAATTTCAAATTGCTCTCTTGAGTGAGGTGTTTTCCCGGTTCCCACACTGCTTTTTTTGGGGGAACCCATTTTCTCCACCAACCGCGCCGCGACCCAGTTCGTTTGCCGGAAGTCTCGCGATTCCGCTCTTCGCGGGAGAGTCAGGTCAAAAGGACTCGTGCGCTTCCTCGGTGGCTCCGTACTTACCAACCCGCGGGGATCAAAGCGAAGGAACCCAAAAGGGGCTCGCTTTTTGGACGGAGATCCTACTTGCAAATTACCCTGTGCTTTGTAGGGTGCCATGCAACACCAGGCAACCGCAACGCACCTTGCTGCCTTGGTGCAGAAGCAAGCTTGAATCCGAAAAAGCGGAACAACTTTGCTCTTGGCACTGTTCAAAACAGAAAATGACAACTTGGTGAACGTTCGGGAATGGGCATGCAAAGCTCGCGAGCCCCGCCCCAGTCGTAACCACTTTGCTGACCCCAGGGTTGCCAGGCATCCACCGGCAAAGCCGCTTGCTTGTAGAGGCGGTCGACCTACGATGGATAAAACATGTGAGGGTGGATGTGGTTGCTTGCAATCTGCGACCGAGGTGGTGTGTCAGTTCCTGATACTCATTCAAAAATCCTGAAACATCTTTGTCAAAAGCTCCCCGGGATTGTCTCCATAATGTCTCAAATCCGAGTGGCCAGCACGCGGTGCAAAGGGCGCATTGAACCCACGACTTCCTTGGACACGCGTCACGGCCCGACGGGATGCGTTCACCACGCCTCGTTTCAACCGGCACATGTTTCGAGAGGGTCTTTGGGCTTGTTGCCTCTAAGATTGCCATGGAAGGTGGTCAATTACTGTGGCTCTGGGGCAGCCCTTCGACATGTTGGAAAGGATCTCCTCGGCTGGACCCAATCGGGAGATTTGACCTGACGCCTTAAAGCTGGTGAGTGGCAAGGACACTTTTGGTTTAAGAAGTGATGCGAAGTCACGGAACAAGCCGATCCCAGGCATAACTGGAGCTGTGTACCAAGTGCCCTTAACAAAACCAAAAGGAACCCCATACCCTGGCTTTGGCTTCAAATGGGAGAGCCAAACTTGTTCAATGAACACCTCATTTTTCGAGGTGTCCATTTCTGTTGTTTGGTTTGCGGTTATTACTTGGATAAGCTTGCTGGGCCAAAAGCAATGCAAGCAAATGTACGGTGGGATTTTGACCGATGCGAAAACACGGACTTTCCCAACGGGTTGGCAAACAGAAGTAACCAAGCTTATCTACAACTAAAATGGTCCAAGCCGGAAAAGTTGCAAAAGTTCAAAAACTCAGGGGTGAGAATCTGAGGTTGGTCTAAGCTGGCTGTTTCATTTGGCCACGGAGATCCACGGAGCCGTTTCAGCCCTGAAATCGGGGCCCAAAATCCTTGCCGGGCGTCGCTGGCTGTAGGCCTCCACACCTCCGGGCCAACCTGCCCAAAAGAACTCGCTGACCCATCCTCTGGATATCTGGGGCTGGCTTTTGGTTGGTATGTATATATATATATATATAGGGGGGGGGCCTAAATTCACATTTTGGCTGTACAAAATGCATGCAAAACACACGTTCCAGCTTCTAAAATGAGTCTCTAAAATATGCACTCCTTTTTTGACTTAAATTCTAGCATCGGTAAAAATAGTGCAATCCAGGATGTGCTAGCACGTGCTAGCACATCCTGGATTGAAGATTGAAGATTCTGAGACCACTTGTTCTGGAAATCTTCAATCCGACCTTAGGACCAATGTGGCGGCACGTGCTAGCACATCCTGGATTGAAGATTGAAGATTGAAGATTTTCTGACAACTCTCTCTGGGATTCTTCAATCTTCAATCCAGGATGTGCTAGCACGTGCTAGCACATACCAGTTTGTCCTCAGGATGGATTGAAGATTTCCAGAACAAGTGGTCTGAGAATATTCAATCTTCAATCTTCAACCCAGGATTTGCTAGCACGTGCTAGCACATCCTGGATTACTCTAAGTACATATTGGGAGAATTTCAGAAAGAGTTGTCAGAGAATCTTCAATCTCCCATCCAGATCCTGGATTGCCTTAAGTGCGGATTTTAAGAATCCAAAAGGCAAATCAAAATGTGGATGTGCAAATCCCCGTCCCTAAAGGGGGGGGGAGTGGGGGACCTCAAAAATTGCAACATATTTCTTTTTTTGGGGGGGCAGCCCTTGAAATGTTTCAACTCTTAACCCGAACCCCGCAGAAACATGCAACCCTTTTCTGGGACGAGCGTTCGGTTTGGTGTCTGCTCAAAGCCCGCAAGCAGCAGTTTCTTGGAAGCGTTGTGATTATTCTTGTGGTTTTCGAGCCATTTCCCTTTAGAGGCACCAGTTTTTGGAGGGGCCTCCCAGGCGCAAGCGGGAGAACCGTTTTGGTCGGGGTCTCCCCCCACGAACATTTATATTTTGGGCCCCTCCGTGCTTCACAACCACCACCCCCCTCAAAAGTGCAACAAAAAATGGAATTTCACTGGGGTACCCCTCCCCTCAAATTACAATCGTTAGGGGGGAAGATTGATGCGCACTTGCACTGCTGACACCTTTACAGCTTTTTTGGACTTGAGGGCTGGCCAGGATGGAAGGTTCTCAAATAGAAAATATGGTAGGTCTTCAATCTTCAATGCAGGGGGCGAAGCCTTAATGAGTCTGGAACAAACTGTCAAGTTTTTGGGGGACCAGGATTGAGTATATTCTAAACATATGTTTGTGGAATCGTGTATATTCAATGTTCGATCCAGGGCAACACGATTTGAGCAAATGCTGAAAAACACTGCGTTTTACAGCATTTATGCAAATAATAGGATCTATGATTGAAAACACGTTCCTGTCATTGGCTTGGCTCAGTTCTTGCTTGGTTCAAAGCACATGGAGTTCGATAAGGACAATAGCCCTTTCAAAATTGAGTTTGGTTCCAAATTCATTTGGCCATGAAATAGCTATATTCTCCAGTTGCTGATTGAAATGCGCAAGAAACTGCAAACGAGTAAACTTGAATTTGGTTTGAACTCGAAAGCTTTTTTATCTGGATGTTCTTCCCTTACTTGAATTTCAATAGTTGTTATTGGCGATGATGGAACCAACTTAGACAAGCAACACTCACACACGCGGGATAGTTGCTTTGCAACATATGTCTCAAACAGACTGAACTAGCATGTCAGGAATTATGCAAAACACCCGAGTTAACATGTAAATGCAACTGCGCAAGGACATGAATTAGGAATGAGTTCCTTTTCCCCGAGTTGATGTTTCGCTGAATTTTGCTGACAAACAAAAATAATAAGCACCAAGTAATAGGGCTGCTACAGGCGCGTTGAAGCTACCAAAACATACTTCGCGCACTATTCCTGTACTGAAAAGTTGTGCTTTTTGAGCTGGAGCTGCCAAATTGCACTTTGCATACTCCAATGTGACTTTAAGTGCACTTCGCGCACGCCAATGTGACGGTCACACAACTCGCAACTCCTAATCAACGTTGAGCTTAACTTCTGCTTGGTTAGAATTTGCATGGAGTTGAGTGTCCAGTTCATTTCAGAGTCTCAAGGCATTTGTCACCCCCAGTCTGGCCAAAAACCTCAGTTCTGCCCAAAAACCTGAGTATTTCAAGGGGGGGAATCATATATATATATATATGTGTGTGTGTGTATGTATGTATGTATGTATGTATGTATGTATGTATGTGTATGTATGTATGTATGTATGTATGTATGTATGTATGTATGTATGTATGTATGTATGTATGTATGTATGTATGTATGTGTGTATGTGTGTATGTATGTATGTATGTATGTATGTATGTATGTATGTATGTATGTATGTATGTATGTATGTATGTATGTATGTATGTATGCATGTGTGTGTATGTATGTATGTATGTGTGTATGTATGAATATACATACATCTGCATGGTTTGTTTATATTTCCCCCCCACCCTTGGCTTCATTTGAGCGCAAGGGCTGTGAAGTCTTGGCAGGTCCCATTCTGCTTCTAATTCAGCAAGCAGGCTGAAGCGTTGGAATTACACCAGCGCAGGCTCCAGATAATTGCCGTAAAAGAGGTCGAAGGTTGCATGCGCTCGTTTGCTGTTACACACGCATTGCTGCCGACATTCTGCGTGCGCATCTCACATTCTGCATGCAAAACCTCAACCGTGATTGATGGACAAATATCGTGAGAGTTGTCCACGCTAAATGGGGTATCAAGCTAACCTCAGGGCCTCGGGGCAGCACAACCTTGCTGCAACTCAGGCAGAGGCTTGGGCAGCGGGCTTTGGCCAGCTCCAATCGGGTCCGAAAAGGACCGGAAGCTCGGGCCCGAGCTTGAGCTGGCCAGACCCAGTGTGGAAGTGGAAGAAGAAAAACCTTACGTGTTTAGTGTTTGCTCCATTTATACCGTCTACAAGAAGATTCTTCGAACAAGTCGTTCTCTGCTTAGCTAACATGCTTCACGTTGCGAAAGGCAACATGCGGTGTCCTAGCTGTAGCCCTTGGTCTTGGTGCCCCCAGATTACTTCTGGAGCATCGATCACATTCCTGTGGTGAGCCAGTTGCTGTACCAACGTGTTCCGGTGCTGCGCCAGTTTGGCATCCCGGATGATATGTCCATTACTCAAACTACTCCTTTTGCCTCTTAATCCATTGAATGGGGGAATGGGAACGGTTCCCGTTCGCATTCCCATTCCCATTCCCGTTCTTTAAGCCGTCAACGCCAAGTGAAAAAATGAAGGGAAGGGACCCTTACCGAATAATCTTGCGATACACAAGTGAGAATCGAGGAAGTTCTCATGCAAAAGCGAGGTAAAAGCCAAAGACTCGGCGCACCCATTCGCATGCGCAGTCCTGCCTCGGCAGGTTTCTCCTCAGCCCGTGTACCCGTTCGGCGACTGAAGCCCTACACTTCAATTTCCGGTTGAAACACCCTTTGCTTGGAATCTTGCTTTTGGATGCCAGCGTTTGAACCAATTGTTGCCCAGCGGTGCTGTAAAGGAAGGAAAGTAACAAAGCTAGTTTAGCTTCCCAGAGTAATAGAACCCTCAACCCTTTCCGATGGAAGTTCGGCGGGGGCTTGGACAATCTTGAAATGGCACAACTTGCATTCGCCGAAAGGCCTTCGTCTCACGCCTCAGATCGAAAGGACCCATCCCATCACCAGTCCTGAGCGGCCGCTGGTGTTGGCACGGGCTGCGGCTGGAACTCGCTGATGAAGGCCTCCTAACCCAGAGCTCTCACACCGCTTCCCAGCACGTGACAATATGGCTGTGGGTCAATAATAGGTACCCAAAATGGAACCCTGGCAAGTGGCAACATGGACCAAAACCTGTGGTCCCCTGGTGGTTTAATTTTGACCCACACCCGTATTTTGCAGGGTCGGCTCGACCAACCCAGATTGCTAGTTACGCGGCCATGTTGAGCCAGTTGCTTCCAGGCGTTTCGCCACAGCAAGGAACCATGGTCTTTTAACAGGTTTTCCCTCTCAATGGTGTTTTCAGGGGAGCCGCGGCTAGCTCCATCTGCCAGTCCGTATTTGCCAAGGTCCATGATGGCTTCCTCTACTTGCAAGACCTGTCTTGCATGGAAGCACCGGCAACGGAACGCTCTTCCAGAATACGAACTGCTGGAGGGCCCCAACCCGTCCTCAACTGCTCTCTTCGATTTCTGAGACGGCCTGGGTGAAGGAATGGCACACTTCTGACTCGCTTTGGCCTTTTTCGCAACTATGCGAGATCCGAGAGTCCTCTTGAAGGTTCCTCGCCAAAAAATATGGCGTTCCAAGGATGCCTGGCCTTCTTTTCACCTGTTCCCCTAGAAACGCGCAGCCCCCAGTGCGCACCTTGGGCGACCCTAAATGGGCTGTGTGTGGGTTCCAGCCTTGGACGACCGGAACCCGATCAGAACCTGTTCAACGAGCCCCCGACTGTTGGGCTTTGGCGCGCGACTTCAACTTTGGCCTGGGCACACAGGAATTCGCATACCCGACCAACGACCAGTAGAAACAACTTAGCACGCATTTTAGTTTTAGGAATTGGGTCACAATTGCGCGGAGTGGGTCTTGGCTATAAAACTGTGTGTCTCTGTGTCTGTGTCTGAGTCTGTGTCTGTCTGTCTGTGTCTCTGTCTGTCTCTGTCTGTCTCTGTCTGTCTCTGTCTGTCTCTGTCTGTCTCTGTCTGTCTCTGTCTGTCTCTGTCTGTCTGTCTGTCTGCCTGCCTGTCTGCCTGTCTGTCTGTCTGTCTGGCTGTCTGTGTCTGTGTCTGTGTCTGTGTCTGTGTGTTTTGTCTTTGTCTTTGTCTTTGTCGGTGTTGTGGGTGCGGTGGAGAGCAGGCTTTGCGAGGATTGGGGCGGTCAGTTTGCAATGGTTTGCCTGGTGTAGGTTGACGGCGGTACAGGCATTAGGTATGCTTCAGATTCTCTCTCTCTGTGAGGATACGGATTGGGATTCAGGTTGCTTCTGCACTTTGCGTGAGTGGAGTAGGGATGCGGTTGGTCGGGTGGCCATGTGCTTCAGGGTGTCCTACATGTTCCCCTTTAACATCACAAACTACAGGGGGCATGACTTACCTTTAAAGAGGCCTTTCCAAAAGGTGACCTCGTATCACTGCAAAGGAACATGGGATGTGAACCGAAGCCAACCCGAGCTGAACCAGCAACAACCCACAACAATCGGGTCGAAATGGGTCGAAGTCAACGTCATCGAATCTATGCTGGTGATTCTCTCGACTCACCTCGCGCCAGTTTGCAATTGTGGAGGTTTTGCATCATCCCTAACTTTACTGCACATCGTAAATCCCAGTCGATCCACTCACCTGTACAAAAGGTAATCCTGGGAAACGCCCTTCAAAACTAAAAGGAAAATGGATGGTTATGGGATGTTATGGGCGCAAGTGGGATGCAGTCATGTAGCATATTCAAAACTCAATGGATCCAGGAGCCGAAGACTAGAACTCTCGAAACTCAAAAAACTCGATACCCAAAGTCGAAGAATTCAAACGTCGAGAAGACGACGGGTGCAAGGACTCGAGTCCAATCTAGTCAGAGAATCCGATCGAAGGCTCGAATCAAAACGAGGATTCCCAAAAAAAAACAAGAATCCAACCAGGAAGTGGTTAGCGGCTTTTGCTCTTTGTCCCAAGCATTTGAACGTTTAGTGCCTAGAAGTGACACATACAGATTCTTCAAGAGCAAAGATGACTTCTTCAGCCCACCTAATGGCTGCCAAACTGCCAGCGTACTCCAAGAAACCCACGTTAACAAAACAAGAAAACACGGTTGTCGAGGGGGGGGTTCTATCGGTTCGTACCATCAGCTCTAAAGTCCCTTGCCCTCGCGCCTTGCGAGCTCCTTGGCTCTGGGATACGATCCCGTTCCGCGGTCCTTGCTCTTTCCACGGGCCTCCGGGAATCGGTGGGCCAACGTGGCCCTTGAGCTTCGACGGGCTGCTAAACCACTGCTAAACCCAGCAAGGCCCAAAAATCATCCGTTCCCCCAAATGCGAAACGTCCCCCCCCAATACTCAGTGAGTCCCTTGGGAAAAACCTGTTTTAGCCTTAGGGGGTCCCCGGTTCGTTTTCGGAAAGCCCTGAAAAAACAAAAGTGAAGTATTATATTCTTTGTGTGGAGAGAGAAGGAGGGAGAGGGAAGGAGACAAAAGGGTCCCCTGATAGGGCTGGATTTAGGCACGGGCGGGAAAATACCTGCTTTAGAATTGGTTTAGTATTGTTATTGGCTATTCTAAAAGTAGTATTCCCGGATTTGGGATTCTCAAAGGCCCGTTTTAGTATTCGGCAAACCTTGAGCATTAGGGAGAATGGATTACTCCAAGCCAACGCACTCGGAGTTCCAAGTGCAGGGTCCGAATGGCCTGAAGGGTGGGGGTTGCTTAGGTCTCCACCCAGCCTTCCCCAAAAAATGAATAAAGCATTTTTTAACACAAAACACAAAACCGCCAAACCGGGCGAAGCCAATTTACCGCAGGTCGAGGGCCTGCTGCGCTTCAATCACGACACCGCCATCGTAGCCTCAGAGGCGCGCTCTGTCAGAACTTGTCTTGGGCCAACCATGCGGTCTGTGCAGGGGAATCCTTTTGGACAAATGGATGGCCCTGGTGAATGAAGCCAATCCAAACCAGTGCTATCTACGTCTGGGCACCTATGGTTGGAACTGTCAAGTCTATTCGAGTTGGAGAAAAGGAAGCTAAACAGAGCAGACATCTGGTGCCTGAAGGGAGGCCATAGAAAACCAAGACCTTAACCTGGTTAATGTCTGACCCTTCCCCCGTGCCGGAAATTAGAGGCTCGCCTTGACTGCTTGGCCGAGGGACTTCAGAATGCTAAATTTATGAAAAGTTCACATCAAGGATCGCATTGCTTTGGTGGCCAGTCAGCCACAGTTTTCTACTGATTCTCATGCATGTCACGATCTTCTGGTTTCATCCCTCCTAGCCCCAACGGGGCACAAGGCTTCGCATCGAAACACAGCACACCCTCAAAACCATATCCAATAAAGAGGGGGGAATCCCCTGTTCCATACACCTAAGACGCCTCCCCTGCCATCAAAGAAAACCTGGAGCCACCTGAAGCATCGGCCTTCCCATGTAGACTACGATTTGTTTCAAACAAACAAGTTGTGCGCTTGAAATCTGCAAGTAGTTGTGGCCTCGGATTCTTCAACTTGATGTACGAAGGTGTTCGACCCTCGATCACGCCAAGCATCGCAGCTTCCACATGGAGCCGCCTTTGCGCCAGACGTGCCAGTCAGCCTTCTCCCCGTTGCGATACCTCAGGCACAAACTAGCTGTGAAGCTTGGGGCGCGAGCCAGCAGCGGGGAATCAGTGAAGCCCGACGTCTGGTTGCTATGGTCTCACAAACTTCCACTTGGCTTCCTTTCAAAACAACACCAAGACCAACAAGAGTACGAAGTGAATAAAAGCACATTCCTGGGCCAAATCTGACCTATACACCCAGCAGGGTCGCAGGCCCACATAGCGGACTTGGGGTCAGCCCAAATGCTCTTTTCACCATGGCCCGAAGATGCCGAAAGGAAAACCAGCAAGAACATAACAATTCTCGGGGCAATCAATCTCACCTAAGTACTGAAAAAGCTGCACCGCCCGATTTTTTTCCTACTGGCCGCTTGGGGCATCTATACTTGCCACATGCGCCAGGCAGCTGGCCCTCCTCTCGTGCGCCGTCCGCCCAAGAATAGGCGCCAAAGCCGTGCTTGCGGTTGCTGACGTATTGCCCTTCGAAGCGGTCGCCGTTGTTGAAGCGCACCTAGCAGCACCCTCCGAAGTGCGCAGGCCGGAGAGATTCGTCTTCCAGGAGAAGTCCAAGTCTCGAGGGGGGGCTTGGGTTAAATTTGTGCACCAACAGTCGAAAGGCACACCCTGCTGCAGAGGTTCCAGCCCCTTGTGGCGAGTTCTCGTGCGGCGCAGCGGCACCTGTTTTGTTTTTGCATTCTGGGCTTGCGCCGTTGCCGGCGCTTGCCTCTTAGGTGGTCTCGCCGGTCTTCAACATGGCCTACGAGTCCAAGGCGCCCTTCTACAAGCCGCGTGACATGCTGCCCAAGCGGTTTCACGGCATGGTGTCAACCCAAGGGGCCTCTTTTGGCGGCCAAATTGGCTGAAACAACTGGCGGATCCGATGTGAGAAGATGACATGGAAAGTTGTTGTGTCCGACGCTCTTCAGGTTGGGGTTCAGTGGTTTGTCTGCCATGTCCCGAACATTGATGGAGCGTCTTGCTTGTGCAGTTGGCTTGGTTGGCACCCACGCCCCAACCTGCAAATTTCAGTAGAAAATCCTTACACATTCCCAAGTAATTCAGGGGTGCAATCCCCGGAAGCAAGAGCCCGAGTCTGATTGCCAAGGCGCAACTCCACTGCCCGTGGCTTCTCCTCTGGCCCACTGCCCCTCGAAGATTCCGCCCTCGAACATCAAAGTGCCCACGCCGTGGCGCCTTCCTCCGGCTCCGTGCGCAGTGGGACGGGTCAAGTGACAAGTCGAGTTGAGCGAGCCGCGTAGGAACCAGCCGTGGAACCAGCCGTGCTCTTGCTGTTGCTTTCAAGAATTCATTTCAATAAACATGGAGGTGCTCGCATGTGCTCGCATAGCTCTCGCGTGCGGTGTCGTCAATGCGGTGCCTTTGGACTCAAATCCCATACCTCACGGGCAGAAAAGCCGTCCCTAGTTATCCTGTGTGGCACTTAGCATGGCGACATTAGGGTGCCCCTACAAGTGGTCAGTTTCCTCTGGCCAATGTTGGCTTCACAAGAGACCCCCTCATGTTTGGGTCACAGGATCTGCGTGCCATTCACCTCTCCTGACACCCACTGCCCGGCATAGGTGGTGCCGTCTTTCTGGTTCAGCATGCCCCAGCCCTCACGTCCGCCGGCCTAGGAAGCGCAATCTTTCTATGATTTGGTTGCTGCCTGTGCAGGAACAGCAACAGCGACTACAGCCAGGAATCTGTCGAGAGCCCAGGCCTTTGAATGCACATTCCTTTGGAGGTATTTGTGGAGGCTGCGACCTGGGACCCTACTCAATGGCAAGCACAACCCAGCTGGAGGCAAGGAATAGTAAAGATTAATTGGCTTTGTTGTTGGGGTTAAGATTGCCTGGCTGTTCCTTGTCTTTCCTCACTGTCCTGGTTCTTGGTCAAGATGTCGAAAGAAGAGAGACGGAAAGACCAAGGGAAGGAGGAAGTGAGTGAGTCTGTGGATTGAGGATGTAGGATGTGGCAGTGTGTGAGAGGGATGGGTGATGGAAAGAGGATGGTAAGAGATGAAAGGGAACGGCTTACAAGGAATCAATTATAGATTTTTAGATGGGTTTCTATTGCTTGCCTTTTTCATTTCCCAGTCTTATTAATTGGCAAAAGATGAATCCTAAAGTAGAAGCAAAATGATTTTAGAGAAGATAGACAGTTGATTGACAATGTGTTTTTACCTGAGAGTTAATGGTGCCGGGGCCATGTTTCGCAAGAACATTGGCTTTGGGATGCGCGTTGCGCCCCCCCCACCCTCCCCTAGAAGATGAAAAGGCGCCAGTACGGCGTCGAGAAGGTGCAAATGTTACATTTCGAGGGATGCCGATATATATATATATATATATATATGTATGTATATATATATATATAAAATTGTGCTTGCCCCACGCGCGTGCAGCCTCACCCCTCATTGTTCTTTGTTTGCGGGGTCTGTCTGTGGGGATGGCCATGTGTGTACTGTATCCACATGTCCTAACTTGTCATACCCGGGCCACACGGAATACACGCAGAAACACTCGCAATGCTCGAACGATGGTGCCAGAGCTAGCCGATCATGCGGACAACAACACCAAGGCATGTATTTTTTTTTGGGGCCGCCCCATTTACATGCTTGCCTCTTTGGCGTCCCTTGAGCCACGTGCCACGCACAAACCATGCTGTCTAAAATTCTGCGCCAGTTCAGATGGACCTCGTGGCCAGTGGCGGATGTTACGCATCCAGAATTATTAGTTACCATCGGGATATCGGGGTTCTCTTCACTTAACAGCAGTGCCACGTGGGGTCCTGTGCCAGGCCACCGCATCGCGGCCACCCGTGTAGGGTGCGGCGTCCGGTTCAAAGCCGGCGGCTTGCCAGGTGCTCTGATGACGTGCCCGGGGGTATACGATCTTGCCATCCTCCGGGGAGTCAATCCCCTTCTCAGGTCGGGGTGTTGGATGACTTTGGGAAGCCCCGCATGGCTGGTCTTAATGATTCTTAAGGGGCTGCAAGCAATGCAAAAACTTGGAAATGAGGAACATCACCTGAAGGAAGCCCAACTGAAATGGGAAAGAGGCACCAGAATGAGACCAACGCCTTCCACTCAACAGAGTTCCAGGATGCCTATGCTCCATTTGAATCTCCGTCAAACACGGACATATCAAAAGAGCAAACGCCAAAGCCGCGACTATTTGCTGACCTGTCGGCTTACAGTGCGTGAGAGAAGCCCACCGTTCGCCGCGCTGGTTAGATTCAACTCTGGCATAGCCAAAATTCCATGGCACGTGTCGTTAGGCAAGTCTCCGTATCTCTTCTTTTTCGGGGCCCAAGGATGTAAAGCCCAAAGAGCAAGAGCGAGACCTGCGCGCACGTGAACATGGGGAGTGGCCCGTGATTGTGGCCTGGTACGCCCTCTTCGACGCAGGTGGAAGGTCAGTCAAAGATCTGCCGTCCGTTGGAAACCTTTGACCCCTCCCGAGTCCTTGTGCTGGAACTTGGTCCTCTTTGGTCCTTGGCAGTTGGATCTTTACCGATTCTTTTTCGGACTCGAGTGAGCCGTGGGTCCTGACCAAAGTGTCTCAACTTTTGCCATCCATGCCCTGTCGCTCCAGTGTCTAACTTTGAGAGCCCACCTCCTCAGTTCCCATTTTGCCCCGACATGGCGGCCATACACCTCCAACAAGGTTTTGGGTCCAATCCAGGCAAGGCGCCCAAGCCACTAGAGGCTTCGCCTGGAAGATTTGCGCGGGGGCTCGGGGCGAAGGCTGTGGAAGAGGTGAAGTAGTCCGAGTACTTCTGGACCACCTGCAGCTTTCGCTTGCAGTTGACAAAATCTATGCCGGTCGGTGAAGGTTCACAAACCACCTACGAAACTCATGCCCCTCGAATTATACAAGTTCCATCAACAGTGCCATGGTCAAACTCTTAGGCCTAGCTTGCCTCGAATCAAATGGATGTGCGGTCTCCTACGCAGGAGTGATGCAAATCCCTACCCACTTCAAGCAAAGGGAATCTTTGACCAGGGCACATCTACACTGCACGTGGCGATTGCCATTTGTGCTTTTGGCTTTCCATCCTTTTGCGCTTTTCCCGGTCCGATCGAAAGATTTCATTGGCGCAATCTGCTGGTAGCCGGGTGCAAGCTCACCCCCTTGGGGGAAGCTCTCATCTTAAATGGGCCCAAAATGGTGTTGTTACATTGCCCAAAAGGGCTGCCTCCACCTCGCATCTCTTGGATCTACCAGCATGCCAGTACCATAGAAGCTGTCCAACCCTTGGCAGGTGAGCAGAGTGGAGAGCCAACACCTTGATGCAGCTCACTAGGCAAACAGAGCCACAAACAATACCAAAACCATGCCGCGAGCAGTGAAAAACAAACATTCGATGGAGAGAAGCCAACAGGCGTGGTTGAACCCGCCAAGCGTGCAACAGGTACTGCGTTCCGATCGTGGGGCTCATTGAGGAATGCCGTGAAGGGATCGAACGGAATCAACACTCTAGACTTGACACGAGTCCTGATTTTAACACATCTCTCGGCGGAAGATGTGTCGTGGAAAGTGTACGTTGCTTCAACACGTGCTTGGCATCTGCTTCCATCATGAGTCATTGGCACCCTCTGTCAATAGCAGAGGGTGCGGGCCCATAACCCTTCATTTGCGCCAGGTTTTCCAAAAAGTCGTGTCTTCCTTTTGTATGGAACCTGTTTTGCAGCTTCCAGACTAATTCCCGACAGCCCAACCGCTGCGGCTCGCAGCCTTCAGCGCAGGGATGATGGGATCGCTGGTGCCGAAGGCTGGGCTCGGCGAGACGCCGCGGGAGCGAGGGCTGCGGGGGCTGGGGCTGCGCGGGCTGCGCGGGGACCGGGGCGACCTGGGTCCGCGGGTGCAAGGTACATTTAACGAGACCTAAATCAAATCTGGGGCGTTCTTAGATTTCCTGCTAAAAGTTTAACTTGTGGGCTAAATGGGCACTACTGGGCACTGCCACTAAACCAACTAAAACGCTAAAAAGCTAAGGGGATGCCAAGAAATCCCTTCCCCGTGATACCATTTGCTGGCACGGGGGGGCTAAGGGAACCCTTCAAGGGAGCCTAATCCACCCACCAACCACAAACCAAGCCTATCAAGGGAACCCTTCAAAGCAAACATTGTTGGCTATCATGCCTCGGATTCGTTGGGGCCAAATGTTCATAAAGGCGTCAATGACTTTACAGAACGCTGGTCCCATGCCACACAGGGTTTACAGACCGCACAATGAATCCCAAACCGGACAGCAGCCGAACCTCCCCTACTCGACGGCCGATTGGGGTTGTGGGCTGATCGAAACACAGGGTTCTTGGGTTGAAAGCGTGTACATGGACAAAATCCGCTTCGCACCAGATGAGACTTGTGGTTTTTCCAGTCGGGCTTCATCCAGCCCAACAAGTGCCGATCCGCGTGATTCTGGTCGATCCAAAGAAAAATTGACTGAGCGGTTGATTCCCAGAAGCTGTGGGCCCGCGTGCGAGGCGGAGGGTGAGCCAGGGCTCGACCTGCCAGACTTACGCTTGGAGCCGTGGCCGCCCAATTGGAAGGTATCTGAATTGCTTCCTTGCGGATTTCAAGCGGCTTCCCAACCCTTCGACCAACTTGATACCAACTTTCCGGAACCAACTTGGCACATGCTTGGCACATGCTTGGCACATTGGCTATGGTTGGATGGCCGTATGGTGTCGAAATGGAGGGGCCGGAAAGTTGGGCCCCTCTCGTGAGGCCAACTCTGGCGAAACCGGCGCTTTCCTTTGGCCGTGTACGCAGGGTCCACGGCAGCAATGTTGGCAGGGTTTTGAGTTGGGGGAAAAAGGCGGGGCTTTGGGGAAAAAACAGCATTTGTTCAGAGGGAAGTCCTTCTCAGGGCGACTGTTGAGAGTTGTCAAGATGGAGCTTAGGGTGACCCACAGGCCTTCGTCGCCTCGGAGGGTTTGAACATATGGCCAAAAGCTGCTTTGCACCTTGAGCTAGGCCCCAAATCGGTTGCTTCAAAATGGTGTTTCAGGGGCAGGGGGGCTGGCGAACAACCTGTTGCAACCCAAGGGAAGGCCTGACGTGAGCCCGATCCATGCTCAAAATTGCCCTGCAACTCATTGTTCAACCCGGATTCACAGCCCACGAGATGCCCCCTCATGGGTCAGCCTGCCTTCACTTTAACCACCGAGGGTTCCTTTCGAAAAACCGTCTGGGACCCCAAAAACCGTCTGAGTGCCCAGGTTGCAGGGTTCTTGGATGAAATTAAATGAACGGCTTGGTTGGAACTGGGCGCACTGAACCCCCGGCCCCATCAACCGGCAATGGAGGGCAGCGGCAAGCCCCGTGGCGCATTCGGGCTGTTCAGAGGCGATGTTTACTTCTCGCACCTTCAAGTGTTGGGAACGTTCGTTTTCCCACAAACCAGTTCTCGCAATAGTTGAGAAAAAGAGAGCAGCCTGAACCTCCCGCGCCTCCCAACTTTGGTCTATTCCGTCTTCCCCAACAGTGTTTTGGGCAGTCTCACCAGGGTGTGTGTTCGTGTTTTTTAAAACAAGGAACTTACATGCCACTTTAATTAAACACACAAAGGTGTTACTATATGTCAATATCCAACAAAAAAGCTTGCCAAAGCACAAACCAGCTGCTTACCATGAAAATCCTCTTCTCCAAATGGACCCCTCTTGCCAGTGGAACACCCAACCCAGCCCCTCCCCTCCCTGGCACTTGCCTCACCGCAGCCCGCAGCGCGTCCACACGCTGATCCGCGCGGCGCACGCGGTGCTCCCAAAGCTCCAGGCTGCTTACCTCGCATACGGCACCAGGCGCTGGCTGCCTGCCCTGTGAATGCCTTCAACCGGCAACCGCCCAACAGGACAGCACCGGAAATCTACAGGTACTTGGCTAAGTAACATGTGATCTCTGGTTTGTCTCAGCCCAACTTGAAAGCCGCTAAGGTCCTAAATATGTCCTTTTCACTAACTTTGTAAGGAATGCTACTCAATTGGAAGCAGGGAGGGCTTGCACTCGGGAAAGGGTTCCCTTCATTCGAAGGCCCATTTTGGAAAGCCTTGAGGGTGGGAATGCCTATGGCCGCAAGTCACTGTTCGGGAGAAACAGCTTCCTTCAATTCACCATTGGATCAAGCACATGGTTAAAATTGTTTTAGGCAAGGATGATACTTCACCAACCTGGGGGGGACATGTGCTGGACAGCGGAATTATGTGTTTCAAGTCGCTTCAATCAAGTCTTGTGGCTTTGGCACAAGCTGCTACCACACTGTGCCTTGGGGTTCACCACGAAGTATGATCCAAAATTGTTTGCCTAGGTCTTCCTACTCCTCAAGGCTTCTTCTTCTCCAGTGTTTCCCTTGCATGCACAAAAAGCAACATTTACTTGGAAGCCCTTTGAAAATCAAATTGCTCAAGGTCTTGCAGCCTTTCAAGTCCAGGCCAAACTGTACAAACCAATGAGTTTATACAATGAGTGGGGAGCAATCAAGGCCCTTTTTGGTCCGGACATGAACTACCAGAAATTCAAAGCCTGAAGTAAGAATTGGATCCTAGGACTTTTCGCTCGTTCGCCGTAGATTGGGTTCGCCGTAGATTAGGTGACCAATAAAATTGGCTTTAACAAATGGGCTCCTTCCGGATGCGAAGCAATTGATCCGTTGGTGCAAGCCATCGGAACAAGTTTACACATGTTTCTTAGAATCTAGAACCCGCTCAAAGGGTCCCCCGGAACAACTGAGGCAGAAACGTTTCGCCTGAACATGACCAGCGACTGGAGTCGCTTGCGGCACAGGCTGCCGGAGTCTTTGGCCAGGCAATGTCGAGGCTCGGCTTCTCTACCTCCGGGCCCCCGCCATCCCAACTCAGGGAACTTTGGATGGCACGCTGCGGAGAAGATGGGATCTGCAATTGAACGGGCAAACGTGCAACTCAACTTGGGCATAAGAAAGAAAAACAACCTGCGGGACAACTACGGAGCTCCGTTTGTGGCTCCTTTGCCTCGGGACCCCGACGCCTGCCTCCCGCGATGTGTCCGGCCAGTGCCTGGCAAAGCGTCCGATGGGACCAACTATACAAATGGGTGTCCTTCTTTTGAGGGTACCCTTGTTGGGGTTGTTCACAGGTAAAGCCACAAGCCAAACCAATCTTTGTCTTTATGCGTGTTTATGTATTTGTCTTATTGATATGTGTTTGTTTGATTATTTCATTTTATTTACTTTTGGGAACGGGTCCCAAATATAAGACACTCACATCACCAACATAGAAATAATAGCAAAAGGCAGGCCAAAACGAGATTCCTCCCACACCGATCTTGCTCTGTTTTTGGACGGGGTCCATGTTCATGTGCAGGATCCGGGGGAATTGCGTCATTCACAGCTTGTGGCTGATAAGTTGAGCAGCATTTCGGAATTTCAGGGCGGCTAACAGCGGTATAGGCCCAACAGGGTTTCCCATGTCCAAAATGGTCCACAACAGTTTGCCCACTTCATGGGACATCCAAATACGAGGCACACGTCTTCATCATCCTCATGGGCCAAGGAAACCTTCAGCTTGCAAAGCTTTCCTGAAGGAACATCCCTCTATGCAGATTGAAATGGAACCCAAATCAAGTCGTCCTGGGGAAAGAACGGCTCAGCTTGCGAGACCGCTTCAAATACACTAAGATTGGACCACTGCACAGTGCCCAAAACCCGTTGATTCTTTGGGTTCTACCGTTGTGGTTATCCACGTTGATGTTGCTGGCTGAAGTCTGGTGTAAAACCGCTACTAAACCATGACCAGCGGAACGTCCTTTGCAAAGGCCCAACCTCGGGCGTCCAAGTATCACCCTGCAAAAGCATCTGCGATATTTCCGACCGGAAAGTTTGAGATCAAAGGACTTACATGGCTCGTCTTTTTGTTGAGTACCCCCTTTTCTGAAAGTGTCCTGAGAGGGAAACCAAACGGACAACCACTCGCGGAATGGACAGGTGATGGAAGCCATCCACCCAGCCGCTGACCGAATCGAAGCCAGAGACTGCGAGGTGCCTTGCCACCGGCTCAAAGCTCGTGGGCTCGCTGGCCATACTCAGATCTCGGATCTCGCCTGCGACTTCCCTCCATCCCCGGACATGGGAAGCCTGACCTCCAGTCAGGGGAAAATGGGTCGCACTCTTTTTGGGTGATTCTAAAAGGAAATATCTTCTCCCTGCATCATCCAGGTCTCTTCCTTCGCAAACTGTATTTGCCAGCTTCGCCTTTATGAATGCGCGCTTTCCTCGGATTGTCCAATCTTGTTGAAATCATGTTGGAAGGCGCAAACCGACTCTAAACCGGTTGTCTCCGAACATCATAAACATTGTTGCGGAATGGGAGGTTTTTTCATGAACCCCTATCCAAGGACAATCCTCTTCCCAATCGGGTGTGGGTCTTCAATTGGGGCCTTTGGTGCCATTGGCTCAACTAGGAGTCGTTCTCTCTTTTATGCGAGTGCCCTTTTCGAGGGTTGTCTCAAAGGATGGCCACTCATTTGCCCAAAGGACCCCGAAATAAAAGGTTTATCTTTCGCTTTGGGCAAGTGAGAAGAGGGAACTAATGTCAACCCAGGCTTCACAAACCCCTATTTATACATGAATGTTAGCAGGGCTTCATCACTTCGCGGATTCCCCGCCCACCCCCCAAATTCAACAGGGATGTCCCTGCTAGTGCGCATTCCCCCCCCCCAAAAAAAAAAAAAAACAAAAAAAAACATCCGCAGGCTTCATTTGACTCCGATCTCAACGGCCGCTCGTTCCCGGCTCAAGCCGAAGGCCGCGACGGCCGCGACGGCCTGGCTTCGCCAAGTCCAACCACCAGGCGGGGCCGCTTCGGCTCCGGGGGCTCCGGGGGCTCCGGGGGCTCAGCGAGCGGTCCTGAGGGACAACCCGCAATGAGATACACACATATACGGGTATGTATATAAAGAGATAAAGCTATATATATATATATGTGTGCGTATAGGTATGTATGTATTTTTTTTCATGTGCGAGAAGCATATGTATCTGTACTTTCCTGTTTGCTGGGGAGCTCCAAAGGTTTCTTTATTGGGTAGCTGGGAAGGCTGACACCGGACTTCAGGAGGCCAAAAGAAAACTCAACGCCTTGTTGAACCTCTCGCCTGAAACAGCCCTTTGAACCAGCCCCCCCCAAAAAAAAAAGCCCCCCCTCCAAAAACAAACAAACACAACAACAAGAAGCAGTCCAAACAAATGACTGGACCGCTGTCGGCCAGGGCTCTGGCGACACCCCAGTCACCGGCTCCAGTGGCTCCAGTGGCTCCAGTGGTTCCAGTGGCTCCAGCTCGCGCGGGACCAGCACCGGCAGCGAAGGAGTCCCGCGGGTGAGGTCCGATCCACCTGGTCGGGCGAAGCACGTCGCTCGGCCTTGGGCCGTTTGGGTGCCAGTTGAACGACAAGAGTCAGCTGAAGCATCAAATGGCCAAGAACACCACAAAAAGGTCACTATACAAATTACTCCACCTGCACGGTAAGACAAAATGCATTGGCAGATGCGCCTCCGGAATCCTGAGGCCATCTCGTGCTCTGATGGATCGACCGCGATGTGAGAGTACTCTCGGTTTGATGGGAGCGCGGATTGCCTTGGTGTTCCGGCCATGGTTTCCCGGCTTCCCATTCACTACCCTTTAGGGGGTTCCACCAATCCAAACCTCCAAATGGGGCATACCTGAGGATTGGCAAACAAAAATACGCTTCCATGTGTTTCAGCCTCCTGGCAATAATACAAACCCCATTTCCAGTATGGTATATTGCCTTTAAAAAACACATGATAAACAAATCAATCTTCTGAAGCAAATGAAAGTACCAGAAACGTCGAAGAACAAGTCCCGTCGAACAAGCAAAGCTAAAGTACAAAATAGGATAAACCACTTACAAACTGGCAGGGTTTGTTCATCCGGTATGAGCTACTGGTGCAAAGTGGGTTTTGCCCACATTTTGGCCAGCTACCGGGTAAAAGTAGACGCTATGTTCGGCTTTTGGATTCAATACACTTGAACTGGTGCCAAATTTGGACCATCCACAGCGGCACCTATTTGGCCTACCCTATGGACAAAAGCCACGCCAGGCAGTCGGGGTTGGTGCTTTTCAAGAATGATTCATACGTGTTCATTCATCCGGGAAACTAGCTTGAAATGGTCATGTTGCCCGGTCACCATCCACCAAGACGCCCAAGTCGCAGCAGAAGGGTGAAACAAGGGGACCTGTGGTGAGAGGCTTCGGCGTTCTTGCAAGGCAGCCCCAACAGCGTCTATGAGGCAAACAGTCAATACATCTAAAATTCCTCGTTGGTCAAAATAGCTCCTCTTTTGGCTCCCCTCAATTTTTTGGCAATAGGTGTTTATGTACAACCGCCACCCCCCTTCCCCCCGCCCCCCTCACAAAACAGAAGAAGTGAAGGCATACCTCGGGCGAGACTCCAGAGAAGTCTGCAGTGCCAGAAACCCAGCTGGCGGGCGCTCGCACTTTGGCAGGGCTGAAAGTCACCTGCGCAGAGCAAAAGGCGGAGCGTGTCTAAGCATTGGCTTGGTTGTTTCTTGGGGGACGGGGTAATTACCATTTTCATGTTGGTGCAAAGGGAAACCCGAAGGAAAACCCACATTTTTTTCGGGGTCACACCCGCAAATAGGGAACCTTCCCATTGCCCAGATTGGCTGTGGCCTCATCTTAGTTTCAGCTGCCACCGTGAAATGCGCGGTGGAGGCATGGACGCCATACCGATATCCGCTTGCAACACGGCATGAACCCCGAAAAAGAGGTGATGTATGGGTGCCCTACCATTTTTTGCCGCTTTTAGAGGAAAACCAAAAGAACACCACCATTCTGTGAGTTGTTGAATCAACCTAAGGAGGCGGAAGTACCAAAGGGAGAACTGGAAATGGACCAGGGGTAGCCTCTCATTTTTGCACTGGCTTGCAAAAAGCAACAACAACAATATGTTATGGCAAACGTTTGGTCACGCATTGGGACCGCTTCCTCGCCTCCATGTTGGTGTTCATCAGCTCCTAACCCCCCCAAGCTGGCACCCAAGATGGTGCCCATGTTTTTGGGTGAGGTCTCCCAGTTCCATTACCATGTCCAGTCAGGCTTCCCGACATTTCCCCTTTCAATCGTCACCTCACCTCAAAAAAGCTCGCGAAACATCGAACCATCACATCAAATGCCTTAACAAATCACGGGGTCAAAGTTGGGACGCTCCAAAATCGGCAATGCCAAACCCGAAAAAGACATTCAAGAAGGAGACTTCACCTGCATCCCTCCCCACTCACCGGAAGCTCCTGGCTCTGTCGTGAGTCGATCCTGCGAGCCAGGGGCAACAATGCACCGTGAAGTTGGCCCAAGAAATCCACCCCTCTTTTGGTTCTCGCGGCTAAGACGAGACAAACGAAGAATCTTTCGATTAGAGTGTTCAAGAGTTCTTTCAGGATGGTTTTGGGGAATCGTTTAATTAGAGCGCTCAAGAGTCCTTTGAGGATGGTTTTGGGGGGGTTGAGAAGGGTTGAAGTGCCTTCTCCGAAGGTTCCGGGTGTTGAAAGAAAAGGCGCTCTAAGCCAACTTGACCTTGATGGGGTGCACACGAACGCTCTGCGAGGAAATCCTTTTGGAGTTGGCTTCAAAGGGGCTCCCCGATTGCCGGTGATTGGAAAACGTTTAAGGGTTTAGCATCATACTTCCTGACTGCCCTCTGACATCAATTCGCGAGGTCAAAGCACGGGATATGCTTGCCCCCTTCGGGAACTGTTGGAACACCAATTTGTGCCACCACCTGGAGGAAAGAAGTATCCATGTTCAGTGGCTCCCTGTCTCAAAGTGGGGGAACCACCCCAAATGAGGGGCTCCTTTGGATTTCCCTTTAACATCATCCCTGAAAAAACAATCTCCAAGACATTACACCGACAAGGGGAGCGTTCAATTTTGCCACGCCCAGGGCTGACGGGCCTCTCCCACCATGCGGCTTTTGCCGATGGACCGCTGCCTGGTGGCATAGAGGCATGCCGCTTGGTCGCCATTTCGCTTTTGCCTTTAACTCAAAGGGCGGCTTACCTACTAGGCAACTTGATCCTCGCAAGGCACAGGCACACTAGATCACAGAAGTACCAGTGGTTTCCCAAACAGGGAGGGGGTGTGGGGGTGGGGGTCCCGTTGCATCTTTTGGAAGGTGCACCGCATTGCAAACAGGGTCAGAAAGTAACCTCTGGTGTGTTACACACCGGTTTCAATTGCTTGGCCCATGATTGCATGTGCATCTGTGCCAAAGCTATTGCAAAGCCATCTTTGTGCTGGGGACAGCTGACAGGACCGAGTCCTTTGCAGTTGCTTTTGCTCTTCGCCGATTGTCTCAAGCGGGACGGGAGACGGGAGGTCTGCCTGCTTGGGGCCAGTGGCCCTAAGCGGACCCGGTCAACTCTTGCCGCGAAACCGAGTTCTGCAACCAAGAAGCAAACAATGCAACCAGCAACGCATTTGGCAACAAGGGCACCCAATCCCCAACAAACAACAACCCCCCCCCCAAAAAAAAAACAAAGACATGAATAAATACATGGTTATACTGCAAACATATCTGGACAAAATAAATAGATAGACAATCACATAAAATGTTAATACATGCGCGTCTTTTTTTCAGCGACCCCGCAGCCCCCGCAAACAAACTGTGTCTTTCCTGTTTGTCTCCCTTTAAAACCACCTAAACGAGTGCTGAACCAAAACGCCCTGGTTCGCAGCTGCGCGGCACCTGGATCTCCGCGGCTCTCTCGCGCACGCGGGGACTTGCCCGAAACTCCTCCAGGCGCAGGTCCGGCGCAAGGGAAGCGCCGATCCAGTGGTCCAGGGGGATCTTCTGAACATATGTTAACCATTGCATTCAATCCACAAACGCTTGTTTGGAAAGGAATGCCCTTTCATCTCTTGAGGTCTCCCATCTTTGCTTCAACAAGTCCGGGGCCCAAACCCCACCAACCACTCGTTGAACAAGTAAGCTGCAAGATGGGCATGCGTACCTTTTGATCATCCTGAAGGTCCGCCTAAGGGCCTTCCTCCCAAGCAAAGATCGGACGCTTTCTCCCCACCTGGACGTTGCCGCTCGAGCGCCGGCGACGCTCCTGCCAGCCCGGGTTGGAGGTGTGGCTTCCCATCCACCCGACAATCATAGGCAAGAAAACGGATGTGGCTATGAATTCTAGTTGGAACCACCTCACCGGTCAATCATGCCCATGTCTGACATGCTTGATCCGTATGGTTCATCACTTCTAGCAGCCCTGGGCCACTCGCGAGTGTCAAGCCAAACCCAATTTTGCACAGCCTACGACCCTCTACACCCTTTGTACTTGCAGGAGTCAAACGGCCACGACAGGATCCACATTGCTTGGTGAGGATTCTTTGCGTTGGCCCATAGCCACGGGCTTGTCCTTACCAAGCAGGGGGCAACAGGCTGTGACCCATTCCTGGAAGCCAATCATGAGACTTGGGCACAGCTATGAAGAAATACGATCTCCGTTGCTTGCGCCATGTCTGGTTGCCAGTCAACCGGAAAATGTACACATCTCGCGCCTCTGGATGCACTTCTGGGCACTCTCTCGTAGTCTCGCTGCGCATTTTCTCCTGAAACTGGGAGCCCTGAGGTGTTCCTGTAACATGAAATTCCAACAAGGCCCCCCGGAAGCAAAACACAATGAACGTCGTCGTCTAGGTTCCCAGCTTTTTAGAGGAGGGCTGGTGTCGTGTGCTCCCTGGGCAATGGCTGCTAGCACTGAGCCAGGGCGTGTTTCGACAGCCAACAGGAATCCCACACCAGCTGGGATTGCCCAGCATTTTCCAAGAAAGCAATCTTTAAAGAGCCGCCTTCCCACAAGCAACTGCCCAAGTTCAGGTAGGCCACTCGGCGACTGGGAGCGGGCGCGGGGCGAGCGGGGCAGTTGAGCCTTGGGCGACTTTGCCTTAGACACTCGAGGTGACATGTGACCTGACGTGTCGGGTCCCCCCCCTTCTTACAGCACCGTTTTGCGAATGTCACACCGCTACCCCCGTGAACTACCCAGAGGGTGATGTCTAAAACTTGCTAAAGAAGAAACGGGAACCTGACACGCACTTTCCACCTTGCGCTTCCGGAACGGCAAAGCGTTTGTGGAAACGCGCCAAGTTGCCCTTGAAGCTGCGCCTCTTGAAACAGCACGCCGCTCGGAAAGAGGCCTGTCTTGTCTGGCTTCCTTTGGCCGACTTGCTCTCCTCACGTGCTCAAAGGGCCTGGGTACAAAAGAACAACACTCACCTTTTTGGATCTTGCCTCGACATCGACAAACATACATTTACTCCTCATGGAAGCCGCCTCCCCAAAAAACGCGAAACACGCACAGGTGTTCCATTCAAAATTACCTTGCGTTGCATATGGTCTCATCACCAAGCAAACAAAACACTAAATTCAGCGGTTCCATGGGCTACATGATTGTGTGGATGACATCCGGGAGGAACCCAATGGAACCCATTTGTTAGAACCCAGGCGTGTTGTGTGTGTGTGTGTGTGTCTGTGTCCCATGGGCTACATGATTGTGTGGATGACATGCGGGAGGAACCCAATGGAACCCATTTGTTAGAACCCAGGTGTGTTGTGTGTGTGTGTCTGTGTGTGTGTGGGTGGGTGTGGGTGGGTGTGGGTGGGTGTGGGTGGGTGTGGGTGGGTGTGGGTGGGTGTGGGTGGGTGTGGGTGGGTGTGGGTGGGTGTGGGTGTGGGTGGGTGTGGGTGGGTCGGTGGGTCGGTGGGTCGGTGGCCGGGGTGGATGGGGTGGGCCGGGGTAGGGTGGGCGGGCGCGGGTGGGCGGGTGGTTGCTTGTGTGCTTGCGTGCTTGCATGTTTATCTCTCTCTTTCTCTCTCTCTCTCTCTCTCTCTGTATATGTGTGTATGTGTTTGTGTATGCGTATGTGTGTATGTGTGTATGCGTGTATGTGTGTCTCTGTGTATTTGTGTATCTCTGTGTGTGTATGTGTATGTGTATGTGTGCACGTGTGTATGTGCATACGTGTGCACGCACGCACATATGTGCATATGTGCGTAGTATGAGCATGTGTGCGTATGTGCGTATGTGCATATATGAGTATGTGCGTGTGGGCATGTGCGCATGTGCGGATGTGCGCGTGCGTGTGCGAGCGCGTGCGCGTGTGCTATATGTGCGTGCGGGCATGTGCACGTGTGCGGCTGTGCGCCTGCGCGTGTGCCAGCGCGTGCGCGTGTGCTTGTGCGTGCAGGGGTCCGTGCATGCGTGTCTGTGCGTGTCTGTGCGTGTCTGTGCGTGTCTGTGCGTGTCTGTGCCTGCCTGTGTGTGTGTGTGTGTGCGCGTGCGTGTCTGTGCGTGTCTGTGCGTGTCTGTGCGTGTCTGTGCGTGTCTGTGCGTGTCTGTGTGTGTGTGTGCCTGTCTGTGTGTGTGTGAGTGTCTGTGTGTGTGTGTGTGTGTCTGTGTGTGTGTGTGTCTGTGTGTCTGTCTGTGTGTGTGCGCGTGCGTGCGTGCGTGCGTGCGTGCGTGCGTGCGTGCGTGCGTGGGTGGGTGGGTGGGTGGGTGGGTGGGTGGGTGGGTGGGTGGGTGGGTGGGTGGGTGGGTGGGTGTGTGTCTGTGTCTCTGTGGGTGCGTGCTTGCGTGCGTGCGTGGTTGTGTGTGTGTGTGCGCCTGTGCGCTTGTTCGTGTGGGTGTGCTTGTGTGTGTGTGTGCACGTTTCATTTTTTGCGTGTGTCCGTATGTGTCCGTGTGTGTGTGTGTGCGGGTGTCCGTCTGTGTGTCTGTGTCTATTTGTGTCTGTGTCTGTCTGTCTGTCTGTCTGGCTGGCTGGCTGTCTGTCTGTGTGTGTGTGTGTGTGTGTCTGTGTGTGTGTGTGTGTCTGTCTGTGGGTGTGTTTGCGTGTCTGCGTGTGTCTGCGTGTCTCTGTGTGTGTTTCTGTGTCTGTGTGCGTTTGTGTATGTGTCTGTCTATGTCTCTGTGTACGTCTCTCTGTGTGTGTCTGAGTGCGCGTCTGTGTGTATCTGTGTGTGCGTGCCTCTGTGTGTGTGTGTGTCTATGTCTTTGTGCGTTTGTGCGTGTTTGTGTGTGTCTCTGTGTGTCCCTGTGTGTCTCTATGCGTCTGTGTGTGTGTGTGTTTGCGTGTGTGTCTCTGTGCGTCTCTGGGTGTGTGTCTCTGTGTGCGTGTCTCCGTGCACGTGTCCTGTGCGCTCCTGAAATTGGGAGTCGCTCCATAATTGTCACAACCAAATGTCGGTTTTGAGGGTACCGCCTTTTTGCTTGCGGTTTTTAAAGGAACACCAGCTCGAAAAACGCCACTTTGTGGGGTCCAACTCAAAAGGCACCGCCTAATGGAAACCATGGAAAACCCAAATGTCCAAAGCTTGGCATTCCAAGTCTCTGCTTCGTGCGCCGCTCGGCCGCGCGCCGCAGTTCGTCCACGCGCTGCCGGTCTGCCCGCTTCTGTTCTGCTCTGCGACGTTCTGAGGCCCAAAGGACTCTCTACATGTGCCCTTTGAACATCACCCAGGAAACTCGCCTTCAGATGGCGAAAAAAGTGATCTATACAACCATAAAAGGGAAAAGTAAAGAACACCGAAGCGACTAAGACACACTAAGAACTAAGAAGGTTCGAAGAAGCTTTTTTCGGGTTATGAGGGTGCCTTCGCCTGCCACCAATCCCCTCAAAGCAGGCTGCTTCCGTGCGTACTGTCAAAGCAATGCGCCATGGTGGTGATCCCTTGATTGTCCCAACCCAGTTCCCATGCAAAGTTGGAACCACTTTAGATTTTTGAGAAGCTCCCAAATTCGGTTAGCCTAACAACCCCAATTGAAAACCCCACCTCTGGCCACCTCGGACTCCTCCTTCCGCTCAGAGAAGGCCCTGGCGCGGCTCAGCTGCAGCCTCGGGGGTTGAAGCCTTGACGACTGGAAACCAAACCCGAACCGAAGAAGCGTGGGGAATCTGCTTTTGTCTTCTTCTCTTGTGGTTTATCGAATTCTTTCCTCGAACAAATCACCACGTATCACGTGCCGCTAGAGCGTGCGCGCAGCCACGCCGTCCAAGGTTCCGAAGGATGCCCACCGCACCCATAGCCAAACTCTGGACAAACTTGTGAGAGAATCATGGACCCCTCCATATTGGTTGTGTGTTGAGCTCACCTATCAAAAAAAAGCCTCCTCTTCGTGATCAGCCCTCACTTCGTATTGGTGCCTGGGAACTTTATCTCCTCCAGGCCCCGTGATGCGACATGAAGAAGGTTAGCCTCATGCTGGATAAGGGCCACACCGCCTAGCAACTCGTGCACAATGGATTTTTGCTCATGCACAGTGGTTGATATTAAAGGCGGTGTCCCTGTCCAAATAGTGTTGAGAAGGGGCAGCAACCCTCCGGGCGGCTGGGCAGTACGCAAGGGAAACCAAACATTTTGAGGGCTCACCTAATTCAATACAAGATTACGACCATACACCGACAAGGCGGAACCAGACTCGAGCTGAAATCCATGGTTCCAAGCGGTTTAAACAACTTTTAGGTTTCTCCAGGGAGGTACCTCCAAACCAGAGGAAGTTTCTACACTGGCCGTTGAAACCTGCAAGAAACAGAAGCCCTCACACTAACCAAGTTGAAAGCAAACAACCCACTGGCTTGAACTGGCCAAGATCTGGAGGAAACGCGGAACCAACAAGCTTCACACTAAGCCTAGGTGCTTGTCAGAGGAATCCTCCCCAGATTCCTTCCCTAACATCCCGTGTGGCTTCTCTGACGCGGGGACGTCAAATCTGCAAATGACTCCAGAATCCCCAAGTTCAAGGACCTACATGGGGCAAATGAATGTCTCAAAACTACCCCCTCCGTCCGGGCCGCCAAAAAAAGAAAAACACCTTCCTTGGCTTCTTGCAAACCAACCCCAAAAACGATACCCTGAAAAGGGACCCCAAATTGCTGCGAAGTGGCGCGTTGGCGCGCTGGAAGGCTTGGATCTTCCGGGCGGCCAGCTCGCGCCTGGCTGCCTCTCCGACAGTTTTAGAGGAGCTTTCAAGTTTGCCCCACAAAAGGCATGTCTAAGTCCTCCAGAGAGGTTAGAATAAGGCTACCTTTTGTTTCTTCTGTAGTTTACTTTAGTAGGGGGACAACCCTCCAAGGGCACAAGGGCACCGCTGGGGGACTTAGAGTGTGCTTCCTAGGAAGGGGAGCGTACTGGCTTCCAGGAGGGCAGCACGGGTTTTGAGGCAGAGGGCGGCTTGAAATAAAGGGTTTGGGTATGGGTTGTGGCTTGCTAGATTCTGCCCCAGAACGGCACACGAGCTCCAATACCCAGAGCCCGCGCGCTCACTGAACATAGATACCCGGCGTGAATGCTCATTAAGAACCCTTTGCTAGACAGACATATCCCTTTTGCGCAGTTAAAACAAACCATAATCGTGATTCTCCGTGTCTCGATTCCTTGTACGCACGGCCTGCGTACATTCCCACGGCTTAAGGACTCGCATGGGTATACATAGACAATCCTCATGTATTGAAGCCCACAGATGCTATAGCCAACGTGACGTCCGAGAAGTCCGCATGGACCGTTTCACGATCCAAGGCCGTGACCTTGTGAGATCCGTGACTCACCGGGTCATGGTCCAGCTCTGCTGTAGCGAGAGCCCAAAAGCGGGCCATTGTTGATGGCCCCCTTCTTCAAGCGCACCCCCACAAAGGTGGTTTTCCTTTTGGCTGGCGGACATCCAAGCCTCGGGCCAACTTCATGGACATGTGGACCTGAAAAGGAGTGACGAAACCAAGACCTGCCGGATTGAGAAGGTGGTCTCCTCAAAACAGGGATCTTACCGCCCCCCTCCCGTCAGTCAACTTCGCCTACGGCTACTTTATGACTTCTCAAGGCTTCCACTGCCGACAAGGCCAAGGGAACCGTTGGCTTGGTCCTTCGCTGACATCAAAGGGTTGGAAGTTTCAAAGGGAACCAAAGGGCACCATTGCCATGTGGGGTGAGTTTGGAGACAAATCCCATTTTCAGATCAATGCTGCTGTATGCTTTGCCTACCCCAAACAGTTTGTTAAACATCCCCAAAACAGAGTATATATTTGGAGACACTCCCACCCCAGCATTCCGCCTCCACCCTCCCCTCCGCCCTGCGAGAGCGCTGGTTGATCTGGCCTCTGCCCTGGCAGCAGCTTCACGCTGTTCCTTCTGCTCTTCCTGGAAGACCCTCCGAGCAAGCTTCTCCCGCCTCGGAACAGGGAGCCCAAGGATACATCTAAAAACCTCGCAGCTAAAGGGTGGCAATCATCATAGTTGTATTTTAAGGATTTCATCTAAAACAGACTTCTTTTTTGGGATGGAATGCATGTAAAAACCGCCGTGATTCTTTGGGTGAATCCTCTACATCACCTGGCTGCGTGAATTTCTATCAGGCTCGGATCCATCCTCAAGGCCCTGTGGAAGGCACCAAGCAGGCCTTTGAACCAGCGGGCATCCTTCTGTGTATTCAAGGGAAGCCAGGCGATTGTTCAAATTAGAGCAATGCGATCGCTTACTGCCAGGTTTCATTCAACTTTCCGGGATTGAATCGCAGGATGCAATGGCCATAGATCGTGCATGGGCATTTTCTTGCCAAGCAAACTCACGGTGTTTGCTTGGAAGAACGCCGGCTAACCGAGGAGAACCCGCTGAAAGATGGGCCCTGCTTTCTTGAAAACATTTGATGCTGTCAACTGGTCAAACAAAAAGCAGCATCCTGGAAATCTCGCGCTTAAGTCCGCGCAAACCACCGCCGATTTGCCCAGTAGGCCAAAGCAAAAGCTGGCTCTTGTTTGATGTTGGGTAATTAGGCAAAGTGTCCCATCTAATGGAAAGTTGAAGTATGCCTGAATGCCTGGCCCTGGCTCCCCCAATCTTACTCCACACTTGTCTGATTCTGTTCCATATCCAGCCAAAAATTCGGTCAAACCCGAAGAGACCCCAATGCCCACGGGCCAAGCGTCTCCTTCTCAATCCTGCGGGCATTTTTGGGCGTGGCGGGCGGCTCCTCGTCCTCGGAGAGCTCCTGCGAAGTCTTTGGCGAGTCTTGGGCTCGGACCGGGCTCGAGACACGCAGGGAGCGCGGCAAATCGATGAGCTCACCCGTTGAAGGCTCATGGAAAACAACCCACAACCCCCCCCCCTCTTCCCCCTCCCCCCCTTCCCCACCCTTCCCCATCCCACCATTCTCCATCCCCGCAACCCACCCAGGAGGTTGCAAAATTCTCGAACCCAGGGTGTTGAAAAACAAATGGAACCCCCGGGACTTGGTTTAGCCCCACCTGCGTGAAGACAAGTCCAACCCAACCTGCGCGTTTCTCAAAATAGGGGTCCCTTTTTCGGGAAAACTGAAAAGGAGGCCAACCACCTGAGAGATCTCTGAGAGCTTGGTCCACCTGCATACAATCGCAACCAATGCAGGCGTCCAGGCGAACTTCAATGGAATATGCCAAAGAGCGGGGCACCGGGTGGTTCCTGACGTGCTTAGCCACGTGTTTGTTGGCAGATATTCGTAATATGACGTTGCTCACGTTGAGCTGTCCATCACATCACATAAGATCTAGAAACTGGGGAGGGGTTATCCGAGAAGTGAGCACAGGCTTATGGCCCGGAAATGTTCACTGCATAAATCTAGCTCAGATGTTGCCAGCGACCACAAATCATGCGTTTGATTCTGGTCCGTATTTAGTGAGCCTTAACATGTAAACGACATCAAAGCAAAACATCACGCAATTCATCGCTCACTTCGCCGTGGTCGATGTGCAGGCTTTGAACGAAGTCGGAGGGAGGCCCAAAAAGACATGTTTCCTCCCAAGCATGAACCAAAGCAACTTCTGGCTACAAATCATATGGCAGTCATGTTGCTGGCTTTCGATTCTGCCCCATAAGATCTCCCGAGACTTCTGGCAACTTTTCCCCCGTCCTCCGCAGGCAAGGGGTCTGAGCGGTTTGAGCGGCTGGACGCTGGGCTCTGGCTGCCTCCGGAAGAAAAGTCGTCGGTTGCACCGGCTCCGACGTTGTGACGTGGCTCGAGTGACCAACAATTCCCCCCCCCCTGTGTTTGGTTTGTTGCACAATTGATCTCCTGCAACCATTTGGCTCAAGGCCCCTTTTTGTGTATCATAGCACACTCATGTTTGCGTGAGAGAAAGGAACCTTTGCAGGCCGCTTACAGGATTATATCACAATACAATCCACCAGGGACAATCCATCCTCCAATCATCCATATTGGCATATTGGACTCTCTCCGGAATAGATCTAGGGACCTCATCAACGACCTCAACTACCACAAGGGTACCAGTTCCCTTCGGGGATAGGCACCCCGGCAGTGGGCCTCAATTTGTGGTAGCGGAGCGGGTTTTCCGCAGAGATCCAAGGGAAGATGTCATCAGATGGAGAAGGTTTCATGGAAGCCTATTCAAGTATGGCCAAACCAAGTGGCTATACGGAGGAAACACTAAATTTATCGATGACCGCCAAGCAGCCGCCATCGTACGACGGAAAAGTCAGCTGGTTCAGGTATGAAGAACTCGTGGACGACTGGGTAACCATCACAACGGTGGAAGCATCCAAGCGAGGACCTCTGCTCAAGAGCAGACTCACTGGAGATGCTTATATGTACAAGGCCGTCCTCCAAAATGACCTTTTGCAAGATCCTGATGAAGGAGTCAACTATTTCAAGAACACGCTGAAGAAGTACTTTTTGAAAGGTGCGACCAACGTGTATCTGTACAGGCTCCTCAGTTTCTTCAATCATAGAAGGCAGAACCAAGAGTTCCTCATTTTTACATCAAAATTCGAGATTCTTCTCATGAGACTGAAGGCAGCATGGATGGACTTGATGCCAATTTTTACGGCACAATCCCCATCATTTCGCCAGTCCGTACAGGAAGCAAATGCAAGAACAATTGCTCGACATCAGCAAGGAGCCGGTGTTCGAGCACCGCCTCCAGCCCTGCTCAATGAGGATGATCCTACAGTCCTCAGACAGTATATCAACGGAATGCAGGACAGACAGCGGGACGCATTTCCCTTCGGGGATAATCTCATTGCGCAGTTTTTCATCATCCAGAGTGAATTGTCAGATCAGCAGAGAGAAAGACTGACAAGTGCAATGTCACTCAGGAACATATCGCTAGAGAATTACTCCTATGAGATGCTGAAGACTCAATACCATGAACTCTTCATCACGACGAGGACATCGATCCAAGATCCATCCATCCGACCTCAAGGAGGCAACCGAAGCAACACTTTCTTCATCATCGAGCAAGGTGAATACGAAGGAGAAGAAGGCTTCTGGGTTGAGGATGAAGAAGGACTTGAAGGATTCATGTCAAACAACGATGAGGAGACGTTCTGGGTCCTCGAGGAGAACGATGCGTTCATAGCAAGGAAAGTGTCGGGGCGGAACTTCAAATTCAAGAAGAGAAAAGGAAAAGGAAAATCAGGAAATAAAAAGGGCAGTCACCAACGAGGTGGCTTCAAACCCTTTCGAAAAAGCGGTTCTGGCGGGAAGGCCAATATGGCCAATGAAAACTATGATCCCTACGACCAGGCATATTGGGGAAAAGGCAAAGGAAAGAAGGGAAAGAAAGGAAAGTCAAAATTCCAATATCCCTATGATGGAAACAAAGGTTATCCATCCTATGAGAGTGGCAAAGGAAAGGGCGGACATGACAAAGGAAAGTCCAAAACGTTCGCAGCCACCTCAGAGAAGACGGAGGAGCAGCCCGCCATCCAGCAGACTGCACCATCCACAGAGCCTACCTACGCCGGTTGGACAGACCAAGATTGGGATCAATCCTGGACATGGAACGAACATGGCTGGTACTCATCCCATGAGACATCCAGCACCGGACAAGCGTTAATGGCATTCCATGATGCATATGAGCATCCTGGGAAAAAGGCCATCCACGGGAAGCTGATCCGATCAGATACAGTTTCAGAACACAATCTGTCCGTTACAACAAATCACAGCCTTCTGGCAACCAAGCTGATGGCGCCTGTCATCAACCCTCAGCACAATCCGACCTATGCGATTCTGGACAATGGATGTACCAGATCTATGGGCAGCTGGCATGCAATCCAGCGTTTTACTCAGGCCATCGAACCAATGAAGGACATCATCTCCTATCAGTACATCCCGGCCGAGACCAAGTTCACTTTTGCAAACGGAGAGACAGCCAGGGTAAATTGGACCCTGCATCTTCGATATCACACAACTCCTCCATGCAGTACCAACATCGACGTCCTTGAACAAGGAACTGTACCGATCCTCCTGAGCATCAGTCAGATGCGGAACCTCTACATGACCATCGAGCACACACCTCAATGTGACAAGATCACATGCAAGGCCTTTGGCATGAACCGTCAAGCAGTTCCAGTATCCGGTACAGGACATGCACTCGTCGACCTCGCTGGAGTTGCAAGAGTGAAGGCACATGGAGAAATTGCTCGTCAAGGCCTCACAAACTATGTCTACGATGATGACAACAGCATTAAGTTTCCTTCCGGGGATCTCTCCCAGAGTGAAACTGTTTGTGCGGCAAAGTCATCCGAGACAAAGGAGGACCTAGCAACTCCTAAAATCATTGGGTCTCAGAAGCAGGACCATTGGATCCTTGACAAGAAGAACAAGCAGCTCATCCGTGTGCACATCACGCCCCGCAAGGCGTTGTTCACACCAAATGGAGCCAAGGAATGTCCAATCGATCCTGACAACATCAGCCGAGAGCGTACTACGGAAATAATTGATGCATCCGTAGGTGGAGATCCAGACATCCTAGAAGACAATTGGAGACTTACATCCCAGGCAAACAAACCAATGATCAACCTGTGGATAGGTAAGACCATTTTCACCTTCGCGGACAATTCGCTTAAAGAAGAGGAAGCAGGTTCAGGATCGGCAGCAGACAGGATCATCGACAAGAAGGGCCGGTCGACCATTGAGCCAGATCCAATTGCACCATCCTCAGAAGAACCAACATCGCTTCCGCTTGCCCTAGGCAGAATCCACAAGCGATTGTCAACTCCCGAAGAGTTGAAGAAGCTCCACCTCCAGCATCATCACATGACAACAGATCAATTTCGATTTAGAACTCGCTCACTTCATTTGCCGAAATCAACATTCGATCTATTTGACAAAGTCCGAAGTGAATGTGAAGTTTGCCAAGCGGCAAAACATGCACCATCACGAAGCAAGACAAGTGGACTTCGAGCGGACACCTTTGGTGACATGACATTCATTGATCACTGTCAAGTTCCTCTTGGAACAGGAGAACACATCATTGTTTTTGTCATCCTGGATGGAGCAACAACATTGCTCACTGCAGAGGCAGTGACAACTACGCAGGAAGTCGAGAACATCACTGTCCTCAGGAACTATTTTGACCAGTACCACTTGCAGCCCAAGTCAGTTGTCGCAGATCAAGCCTTCATGACAGAGACATGGGAACATTTCTATCAGTCCTTGGACATCACACCGATATCCTTAGGACCGAATACCCCATGGCCAAATCGAGCTGAAGCAGCAGTTCGACTCCTGAAGGCACAACTCAAGATCATGCTAAGTTCCATCAAGGCAGGAACTGCACCTGCAACACTGAAGAAGGTGACATACAGACAGCTGGTGAAGGCCGCTGCAACTGTCAGGAATCAGACTGTCACCTACGGGGGTGTAACACCATTAGAGCTCGCATTCGGAAGACGACCAGCAGATCTCATCCAACTTGATGTCGCAACACCAACGCAGTTGACGATTGACAGGAATGAAGAAGAGCTGACAGCTATCCAGATCAAGCAGCTGTCAAAGCAAGCATTCCAAGAAGCACGTCAATCCGAAGACATCCGACGAGACCTAGCTCAAAATCTCCGAATGAGTTCTAAGCCTCTTCAGGTGAAGGACAAGGTATTCTACTGGCAGGAAGACAAATCCAAGATCCGTTCCGATGGAAGCAAAGGAGGAATATGGCTGAAGGGAAAAGTCATTTCCATTGAAGGAGCAATGGTAGGACTTGATCTTGGGACTCGACTCATCAAGGTTAACATGACGAAGGTCAGGAAGGATGAAACCATCCCTCCGGGGAAACCCGGAATTGACCTTCTATCTCCAGAAGAGCGAGAATCCTTGCAGAAGGAGCAACCTGGATCCTCTGCAGACACCAAGAAGAAAGAGTCATCCACACCAGCTCCTAAGCCAAAATCCTCAGTGCCATTGCGTATCGCGGGAAAAACAACTCCCAAACCTGCAGTACCTCATCCAGCAGAGAACATGTTCGTCGAGGACCTCACATCCGTTCCTGAACAAGCACATTGGAACTGTGTACGTAAAGGAAAGATCCACGTTCTCGAGATCTTTGCAGGAAGTGCCAGATTCAGTCAATGCTGTGCGCTATCAGGTCTTAAGGTTGGGACTCCCGTAGACATCCGCACAGGATTCGACGTAATGACCTCCAAGGGACGGCTCATGGTCATGGAGATCATCAGGGAACAATCACCTGATGTCATCCTGATGGCACCGGTCTGTGGACCATGGTCAAATATGCAGAACATCCAACAAGACCAACAAAAGGTCGGGGAAAAGCGGAAACGCTATCTCCCCATGGTTGAATTTGTGGCATCCATTGCGCGGTATCAGTTGAAGCACGGAAGATACTTCATCATTGAAAATCCTCAGACATCCAGGATATGGTATCTGAATTGCATGCAGCAGTTGTTTTCAGATCCATCCGTGACCTGGGGAGATTTTCATTTCTGTGCATACGGACTAAAAGATCCTGAATCCGGGCTCAGAAGTCTCAAGCCCACGAGCTTGATGCACTGCTTACCTCCCGAGGTGATGAGACCGATCTTCAGAAGGTGTAAGAATTTTCCAGCTCAGTCAAGCATGAACACCAACCCCTAGAGGGAAATGCTGGCACTTTCGGAAGCAGGACCAAACTGGCACAGGTCTATCCTTACCAGTTCTGTCAGGATCTCGC